GAGCACCAATGGATTCAGTTTCGGGGGTTTTAATGCTGGAGGCCAGGCCTCTCAATCTTTCCCTGGGTTCGGAGCTCAGCAAAACACAAGCACGCCAACGAAGCCTGGGATGTTCGGGCAACAAACTGCACAAGGGACCGCGTCTCCTGCCGATGATAGCATGCAAACTTCGCCAGATGCCAAGCCGAAGTCGATGTTCGCATCGCAGCCAGCTGTCGGAGGAACTCCCCCTACCAATCCATTCGCAAACCTCTCAGGCCAGGGTGTATCTAATCCGTTCGCACCACCCAAGGCAACAACCACAGATCAGACGGCTTCCAAGTCTGCAGAAGCTCCGGCATTCAAGCCTCTCTTTGGAGCAACTCCTGCGGCATCGAAGCCATCCGAGGGAGATAAAGACAAGCCAGCAGTGAATATCTTTGCACCAAAGACAACCACGACTGATGAGACTGCTTCCAAGCCTGCGGAAGCTCCGGCATTCAAGCCTCTCTTTGGAGCAACTCCTGCGGCATCGAAGCCATCCGAGGGAGATAAAGACAAGCCGGCAGTGAATATCTTTGCACCAAAGACAACCACGACCGTTGAGACGGCTTCCAAGCCTGCCGAAACTTCACCCTTCAAGCCTCTGTTTGGTGCTGCAGCGTCGAACCCCTCAGAGGGAGAGAAAGAGAAACCGGCTGTGAGCAATCCGTTCGCGAATCTCTCAACACAAGCTTCAAATAACACCAACCTGTTTGGCGCAAAGACGCCAACAGAGGAAACACCGGCAAAGCCTGCCGAGGCTACAAAGCCTTTCGGGTCCTTGTTCGGGTCAACCACAGCCCCCAAGCCCTCAGAGCCTGCTGGCAACTTATTCGCACCCAAGCCAGCTGGAGACGGGTCCGCACCTAGCAATCCATTTGCGAACCTATCAGGTCAGAGTTCGTTGAGTAATCTGTCCTCGCCAAAGGTCACTGGATCTGAAGAGAGTGCTGGGAAGTCTGCGGCGGCGACTCCCTTCAAGTCCTTGTTTGGTGCCCCTGCGGCGTCGAAGCCTGCGGAGGCTGAGAAAGAGCAGACGAGCCAACCGGCATTCGGCAACTTGTTTGCACCAAAGCCGGCCGCTGACAATGCGGCTGCAAAGCCTGCCGAGGAGACTCCATTCAAGCCGATGTTTGGTGTATCTGCGACGCCGAAGCCTTCAGAGGCCGAGAAAGAGAAGCCAGCAACCAGTGGTATTTTTGCCCCAAAGTCCACAGATGGAGAGCAGACTCCTGCGAAGCCTGCAGCGGTCCAGCCGTTCGGGTCTTTGTTCGGGGCGTCTCCCGCATTGTCGAAGCCTGCGGATGAGCAGACCACTCCCGCAAAGCCTAGCAATCCATTTGCGAACTTGTCAGGACAGACACCCGCTGGCAATCCTTTTGCGCCTAAGCCAGTGACGACGGAGCAAAACGAGCAGACAGCTAAAAAGCCCGAGACAACTCCATTCAAGTCCCTTTTCGGGTCAAATGCAGTTTCAAAGCCAGCTGAAAAGGAACAATCAGGCGCAGACAACAATGTCACTGTGAATGGAGAAAAGAAGGCCTTGAATAACTTGGCCAGCCCTGTCAAGCAGAGCGCGAACAGCCTGACCTCAAGTTCATTCGCTCCTTCCTCTGTTACTGCTTCTGGCGTTCCTTCCTCTCACTCCAAAGCCAACGCGTCCACATCTTCTTTACCTGGCACTTCGGCTTCAACTTCTTCTTCTTCCCCCAACATTCTTCCGCCGGATATTCTTTCTGCTACGCTTGATTTTTCAAACCCAGACAGTCTTTTGCCCAGACCTAACATACCTGTTACCTTTGATCTCCCTGATCTCGACGAAAACATGCCTTCCGGTATCAAAGACTCAGAGTGGGACCGTAAGAGTGTCAACAAGCTGGTTTTCTGCCGCTACTTGACTGAGTCTTTCAAAGCCGAGATCGCGAAAATTGATCCTCAGACTGATTGCCCTGACGATATCATTATGCTTTACGCTGAAATGCGCCGCCAGATGGGTGTTCCAATCGGCTCGAGTGAACTGATCGAACATGAGATTATCTTTGGCACCATGCGTCCTAACCCCGACTACGTTGAAGATGCTGCCCCTGCTACTGCCACCACAGCCCCAAAGGCTTCCGCTCCTGTCACTGCTACCGCTGCTCGTCCTACTGCCTCTGTTGCTCCTGCTGCTTCGCCTCAGCCAGTGAAGGGTGATACTTCTAACACTGTCAATGCGTTCGCCCGGTCTTTCTCGTCTCCTGCTCCCGCCCCTGTCTCTGCTGCCACTGGCTCTTCTGTCACCTCTTCCGCCTCCGCTGCGACCTTCCCTGCTCCTGCTACCACTTCCTCTACTACCCCAGCCATCTTTGCCTCCGCTTCCGGGCTTGCCCCGACCCCGGCCACTCCATCTCTGTTCGCCGCGCCATCATCCACCCGCTCTTCCCTTGCTCCATCTTCGTCTGATTCTCAGAAACCGACCTCCATGCCTTCCGCTCCCAAGATCGATGGTAGCGGTTTCAGGCCCTCAGCTCAAGCAATTGCGGATGCGCAGAAGACCAAAGGAAAGGCCGAAGAGTCCGACTCGTCCGACTCAGAAGATGAGGAGCAGGCTGCTCTCCGCGCTAAACTCGCGGCTGCTCCCAAGATGCGCACTGTCTATGTTCCCGGTCAGGGCTTCAAGAACGTCCCAGATGATGACAGTGCTTCTGCTCCTGCGCCCGCTGCGCCCGCCCCTGCTGCCAGTCCCGCCCCTGCTTCTTCGCTTTTCGGAGCGGCTGCCAAGCCTGCCGCTTCTAGTTCTCTCTTTGGAGCCCCATCTACTGGTGCCAATTCGTCCGAGTCTTCTTTGGCATCTACTCCTGCTGCTGCCAGTCCAGCTCCTACTTCTTCACTGTTCGGAACAGCTGCCAATCCTCCCGCTTCTAGTTCGCTCTTTGGGGTTCCTGCTAGCCGTTCCAGTTCCGCTGGCTCTTCAGTCTTCGGTACTGCTCCTCCTATGACCAGCTCAACCTCTTCCATCTTTGGCGGTTCTACCCAGCCCGTTCCCGCTACGCAAAACATCTTTGGCGGGCTGAAGCCTACATCACCCAAGCGCAAGGCTTCGGCCGATGATAGCGACAGCGAGGATGATTCCCCAGCCAAGAAGTCCAAGCCTTCACCTCCTTCTGCTCCCACCAGTGGTAGTCTCTTTGGCCGTGTTTCCACCCCGACTCCGTCGGCTACTGGACAAAACTTCACATGGCAACCCAACACGCCAATTCAGTTTGGCAACTCGCAGCCTGCAAATGGTCAAAACAGCGAGACTACTGCTGCTGCTCCTGCTACCAGTTCCGCTCCCGCTGCCAGCCCCGCCCCTACTTCTTCACTGTTCGGGGCACCTGCAATGGCCACTCCGTCTGCTCCTACATCTTCACTGTTTGGTGGGCCTGCAGCGGCCACTCCTTCCGCTGCTTCTCAGCCCGCCACTGCCACTGTTGATGGCAGTGCCGATGACGAAGAGGGTGAGCCTGGCGAAATTTTCGACCTAGCCCAGAGCAACGGCGGCGAAGAAGAGGAGACGGTCGTATTTGAGGAGAAATGCCGGGCCTTTAAGCTCACTACCGGCTGGACCTCCCAGGCCAATGGGCCCGTCCGCCTGCTCAAGCACCCCGTCACAGGGCGTGCGCGCATTGTCGTCCGTGCCGAGCCTAGTGGAAACGTTGTGCTGAACACCCTCCTGAAGAAAGAGTTGGTGTACTCAATGACCACAAACAGCGTTCAGTTGATGGTGCCAGTGGAGGGCGGCACAGCCTCACAGTGGGCCATCCGAGTAAAACGGGAGAAGCTCAATGAGTTCTTCAATCTGGTGCAAGAGATCAAGAACTAGGTCTTTTTTCATCTTACTATCATCTTGTCCTCCCGAAAGGGAGTGTATGTTTATGTCCAAGCGCATGGCCCCGGGTTAAATTTGCATTTCATTTCTGTACTTGTCTACTTTTATCTTCTGTTTCGAGCCTGGTTGGACCGGCCTGCGCGTAGGCCAGCCAATAATCTATCAATCAATATTCCATTTCTCTCTCTCCTCCAGTAATCCTCCTGGTTTCTCACTGCAGTCATATCAGGCCCCGTTTCCAAGACCAGCTTAATCCTCAATTGATGCTTGGTGGCAGTAGGCAGCTCCCCAGCTGTCATATACAAACATCTAGCCGAGACTCTCTTTCCTTAGTCGTGGTGTTACATTGTGAGTACCCAGAGTCTTCGGGACTCTACTCCATGGCCACTAGGCCTTCGGGTTCATCGTCGTACTTCTCCTACTCTACGTGTTGAAACTGAGAGAGAAGACCTGTCCGGTGCATGAATTGGGCAACGTAGCGGGCTGCCAGCGGCTGAGACGATTTCATCGCAACTTGTCGAATTATTCAATCGGCTTGCTACAGTCGATCTCAGAGTTCTCTCAGTGGACCTCCGTACGTCTGGCATTGTAGTAAGACATGTTTTGGCGTTTGAGAGCCCTCTCTGCGGGCTCATCGGAATCCACTGCATTGATCGGAACAGGAAATGCTTCAATGCAGTACGCATCATGTTCTCGTTTAGCTACATCGATAAAATTGTCGTTTTACATGGTTATTAGGACTATCAAAGATGGACAAGTATAGCCAATAGCTCACCGATTGCAAGAACAATTGAGTATATGGCAAGGATTAAAGAGGATCGTAGTGATTGTTAGAGGCGAACTTCCAAGGACCTACCTGCCTCTCGGTCTAGAACTTATGGGTATTGACACCAGAGCCTTGCTCGTACTTTGAAACTGGTGCGAGATTCTGGACCAGACGGCCATGTCCATATAATCCAATAATTCTCAGACGTTCTATCTCCGCACTTCACGATGTCTACGCAAACTACAATATAGAAACAGTATTCAAGGATGCCCCAAAGGGTAAAAGGTATTTTTTATTTTGTAAAACCCCGACCAAACCCCATCTGGGAACATGGAATCATAGATGCAACGGACATGCACACATTTAAGCGTCGTCGACGGTGGTGGTGTGGAGACCCTTGGGGTCCTTGACGTTGACGGCCTGGACGTGGGAGTAGAGACGCTCCTTGGCGTTCTCCTCGTCGTTACGCTTACGGGAGATGCGGACACGGAGACGGAAGGGGACACCCTTGATGCCGGCCTCCCAGACCTTCTTGTTGAGCTGGGGGTCAACGCGGACGTCCTTGGTGCCCTGTCACAAGAGCGTTAGCCATGTCTCCTGGCTGGAGATAAACAAGGGTGACAGTTGAGTCTCGCTCAAACTTACCATAGCCTGCTCGGCAAAGGCGCGGATCTCCTTGATGGCACGAGGAGCACGCTTCTTGAAGCTGACACCGTGGCACTATAATTCCGGAAAAGAAGTTGCAATCAGTCTTCCGCCCGAATGCCATCTGCAAGAGAAAACTCTGCGCGATGAATGTTTGTGGTCTTTCGGCCATAGTGGACTTCATAAAACTAATTCTTCTTTTGTGTTCCGGGTTCGGACATGTGTGGATGCGAGCGAAGACTTTTTCAAGTTCTTCTCTCGGTTTGTCTGTGTTGCGACAAGACAACAAAGTAGCCATGTCGAGCCATGGCTTCACTGCAGTATTTCTCCGCAGGTCATGGCGAGGATGGGTGGTGCTGATTGAGATTGGGTGTCCCCCTCTCTCCCCACACACACTCATACCACACCACACACACACACACATTCTGATCCGTAACAAATTCCATATTTCAGGAAAAAGGTCTTGTTCTCTGTCCATTATGCCTCCAGGTACGCATTCGCATTCGAATCGTTCGCAGGTAGACTGTGGGGGAGGGTTTTCAACATACACGCTTGTGGAGGTTGATGGTGTACTCGCGCGACACCACGTCGGCGATAGCCGAGCGCTTGTTACCGGACTTGACGTTGGACATCTCTGCGAGAGGTTAGACGAGTTGGCGAGGTTGAGTTGAGGGGAGACTGACTGAAGGGGTTGGTCGACGTAGGGTGATGGTCAGAAGCAAAAGTTCGCTGGTCGATTTTCTTCTTTCGTTGTGTGGCTCTCGCTTACCGCTCTGGGCTGGTCTGTGATTGGTGGATAGCGGATCCATTTTGAATGTATTGTGCCTGATATCTCGGGCAGTAATTACCTTATCTACGTCATCACGTGCCTTGTTATATAGTTACAGGTGCATGTTCGAGTCTCGGGATCGCCACATGCATTGCTATAGTCTATGTATTGCTCCCTTTAAGTTCCTTGATAGCATATCCCATCTGCTTCCCACTATGTCTACTCCTGACCAGCACTCACATCAGGGTAAAGGTCAAATCGTCGCTGAGTGTAGATCGGAATGCTACCCCGGATGTTGGCGACAGCATCATTGGTCAAGTCAGCATAGACAATAGTCTCCTTCTCCTCAGCTTCAGAGAGAATGTTTGCGCTGGGATCGGCGACCAAGCTGTGTCCATAAGCATGATAGGAAGCATCAAGATCACGCGCAGGACTGCACAGCGCCACATATGACTGATTGTCAACAGCACGGGCACGGCCAAGCAGCGACCAGTGGAGGGGACCAGTCGTGGTGTTAAACGCGCCGGGGTAGACAAGCAGGAAAGCGCCCTTGCGGGCGGCAATCATGGCAGCCTCGGGGAAACGAATATCGTAGCAGATGGCCAGCCCGATCTTGCCGTAATCCGGAAGATCGATAACGGTTAACTGGTTTCCAGGAGACAGCACATCACTCTCCTTGAACCGGATCTTTCCCGGGATGTCAATGTCGAAGAGATGCGTCTTGCGGTGGGTGCCGATCAGCGCGCCCGATGGCGAGAAGACCAGCGAGGTGTTGTAGTATTTCTTGGTGGATGGCTCCAGCTCTGGGATACTTCCTCCAACTAGGTATGCATTTGCCTCGACGGCAATGGCCGACAACGCGTGGAAGGAGGGCGATTGTTCTTTCGTGGGAGGGGAAGGGTGGAGAGTCTCGGCGTATTTAGGGAAGAAGCTCGTGCCGTAGGGCGAGTTAAAGCACTCAGGGAGGACTATCAATCGCGCACCAGCTTTCGCGGCTTCGAGGACTTTACTCCGAGCATTCGACAGGTTCATGGCCTTGTCCGCTCCTGTATATCTCAATTAGTCGGAAAGAACAGCAGTGGCAGAGAGCCTGGGGAGGTTACCTGATGCGAGCTGCACCAGAGCCAGCTTAAGAGGCTGCTTCAAAAATGTAGTCATTGTTGGGGATATGAAGAAGTTGAGTTGAGGGGAATTGGGAATCGGCCATCAATGCCGCTGCGGGGGCGGTCATCGTGCCGATAACCTTTCTCCGACTCTCCGACTCGCCGATGCTCCAAAGTATTACAAATCCGAGGCAATTGGGCATAGTTATTTTATGTTCTTATCAATCCATTGGTGCTCTAATACTTGTTTCTGAGGTTATGGACTATATCTTAGACATGAAGCGTAGCGCTGTTACCACCCTGCTATAGTTCTAAGTTAATGGACGGACTAGTACCTTGAGAAAACAAATCACAATTCTGAAAACGAAGGCAATTCGCTTCTAAGTATAGATTTAATTCTAAGAATTAGATTGGTGATAGGTATCATCTTGGAAGATACCTAATGGACATAACAACCACTAGCCAAACCGTATATTGCAAAATAAATATAGTATTAGCAAAACATTATCGGTGTGAGAACATAATTTTGTTCTGTTCATGTTAGCCACTAGCACATCTCTTTTCTAGCGCATCCGGAAAACACACGCATATGCCCAAGAAATGCATGTTGTAAGATATTAGTCGTTTGGACTCTAAAGCCTATACAGTCATGTGAATGCAAAGGCTTCTATATAGTTGTTCACTTTGTATTTCCACTTTATCCTAAACTGTAACCTGTAATACAAATATAAAGGCATTTGAAATGCATCATATATTCCGCAGAAAATACCTTAGTCCATAATTACTGTCGACTTCGAAGAAACTAGGTGAGTCACATGATTAGGGCCAAAAGTGCAGGAACGGACTCCGCTTCCGCTTCCGCTTCCTCCGTCTGTCACCTTTGGAGGTCACTCAAGTACCCATCAGCTCATATCGGAACTCAATACAACCTTCTGTGGGGTGCATTGCCAAGGCTCCACCATGGAAGATTCAGTTGGCCGCCATCCAAAAGCATGTTTAACCTGCGCTAAGGCTAAAGTTCGATGTTCACCAGAGGCGAATGGGCCGTGTCAGCGGTCAGTATACAAATGGCTTGATACTAGTGCGTATATTAACACTCCTTAGTTGCCGCCGCTTGGGTAAAGAATGCGGCAATCAACTACCAGGGGCTCATCGGCGCTCAAAACGATCAGGAACAAATGGCTCGTAAGTTAATCTTGGCATTCGGAATGCTAATTCTATACCATTTTGACAACAAATTAGCGATGTCGCTATATTGGAAGCCAAGCTGGACCGCATGGTCGCTATGCTGGCTGATTCAGCTCCAAGGTCATCTGGTAGGGAAGAAAGTGTCGCGTCTCCCGGTGATGTCGACGGCCAGCTTTTGATGGAAGTGTTCATGAATAGAATGCTGCCTCTCTTTCCTTTCCTGGTGATCCCCACACATGTCACCGCGGAAGAACTGCGTCGAGACAAACCATTTCTGTATATGAATATTTCAATGATTGCATGTCCAAATGCTCCACATCAACGGAAAATCGCTGATGCAGTGCAAGAATATGTAGCAGAGCACATCATCATCAAAGGAGAACAGAGTCTGGATCTACTTCAGGGTCTTCTTCTCAATGTGACCTGGTTCACCACCGTCAGCCGTTTCCCACGGGGTGCTGCTCGCTGTGAAACCAATCCTGACGTGCTGAGATACGAGACAGATGCTCGCCATGTTACCCGCAACACTGCTCAGATTGATAATTTTGTGCACCTCCTTGTGGCTCAGTCAGTGAGCTTGGGTTTAAACCAGGATCCAACCTACCAGAAAAACCTCAATTATCCGTTGACTTATATAAGAGAAACCATACACGGGGACAATCACAATCCTCCACGCACATTGGAAGAGCGTCGAGCTTACCTTGGATGCTACTATATGACTACGATGTATGTTCTTGGCCGATTCTAACCAGACTAGATTTATGCTAACCGCCTCAAGGCTCTCTGCATGTGCGAAAGACTTGGGCACAATTATTCGCTTTACAAAATATACCGAAGATTGCTGCGATGTTCTGGAGCAGGCTGCAGAATATCCCTCCGATGGTTATTTGGTTCAATTGGTTCGGGTAATGAATCTTGCAGAAAAGATTCACAACACTATGTATCGAACCGAACTTCATTTTTCATCTGCCCCATCTCCGCCTCTTGGACTGAGCATACGATGGCTCGAAGCTGAGCTTAAACAACTCAAAGCTCGAATGCAGTACGAGGAACCATACTCGAGTAAGTGATATCAGCATTTGGACAATCTGGTATAGATCTGATGGGTATAAAAACAGCCATTCTCTCATTCCACTACAACACGCTGGAAATTCACCTTTACCGAGTTGCCCTGAGTGCAAATCAGTCCGAATCTCACTACGGCGACTATCCTCTAGCGAGATTAGATCTCCTGTTCCGGGCACTGGAAGCAACAAGTTCGTTCTTCAGAAACATGTACTCTCTTCCCGCCTCCCTTTTCCCTTATTTTCCATTCACTGTCATGAGTCAATTCGGAAAGGCGATGATCACCCTTTCCCAACTCTCCCTTCACAACCATGCAGGCTGGGACCGAACGTACGTGGAAAGCACGATAGACTTCAACCAGGTGATCAACACTATGGGAGAAAAGCTTAAAGAAAGCCGACCATTCTTCGAGCAGGTTCTAAACAAAGAGTCTGGTCCAGCGGAGCTGCCTGAGATTTTTGAAAGAATGGCCCTTCGAGGGAACGTGATAAAGCAAATGCATCAGAAGAGGAAAGACGCGCTAGAGCAGACCACGCCCCCGGCAACTCTGAATCTCATGGATTACGACTTCATGATGAATACGCCTTTCGATATTTTATTTCCCTTCGGTGAGATGCCGATCTATACGCAAAATGTTTAATTTCCGCCTCGTTGCCCACTTCCCAGGCCCACCAGGCACTGGGGCGGACGGAACGGACTCCGTTCTCCATCTCCCATCTGTGTACAAGCAAATACTAGCCTTTTCTTATTTTCAAACTATAAAAGAGGCCTCAGGGCCAGGGAATTTTATTTTTGTGGTACAGTAGTCAATTGACTTAGTGTGAACTTTCCATCATTGTGCGAAACATTTATCGCCTTCACCATCATGACTGTCCCTCAAAATAACTTACAATTCACCTCGAATCATCTCACTAATATCAATGGCTCACAGAGTATCGTCCCAGAAAAATCAGCCCCATCAGGAATCTCAGTCTTGATCATCGGCGCCGGTGTGGCAGGCCTTATGGCCAGCCTAGAGTGCTGGCGCAGAGGACACGAGGTCCGAGTCATTGAGAAAAGCGCCACGCGATTACTATCAGGCAAGTCAAATGCAACGTCCGGTTGCAAACCCTGTCATCTAACAAAAATCCAGGAGACAGCTTCACAATTGGACCAACTGCCATCCGTGCCGTTCAACAATGGCCAGATATGGCAGAGAAGAATGAGAGAATAGCCGACAGCCCATGGATTTCATGGCACAAAATCAACGGCGAAAGAATTTCAGGCCCTGAACCTCTCAGGTTTAACCCTATTGTAAACAGCAGCGGTCAAGACGAAGCTCCACATCGGGTATACCGGCATAGCCGTCCTGCTTTCCATAAAATGTTATCGGATCAAGCCGAAAGGATTGGAATCATTGTGGAATACGGCAAGAGAGTTATTGGATACTACGAGGTAGACGACAAAGCGGGTGTTACTTTGGAAGATGGAGAGAGGATTGAATCTGACATTGTTATTGCTGCTGATGGGATCGGAAGCAAATCATCTATGGTGACCATGGGTCGAGAGCTTAGAGCTCGTTCTTCTGGTTGGGCGATGTACAGAGCTGCGTTTCCTGTGGAACTGGCAATGGTAGATCCTATGGTTCGGGAGCGATTCCAGCTGCTGGAGGATGGGACATCCGTGATGGAGCTGTGGATGGGGTAAGAGCGCGATCCTTCTACTGAGCAATACTCGGAACTCTACTGACGATATCCAGAAATGGACAGCACGTCGTATTCGGGCGGAGTGAGGAAACCATGACATGGGCAATGACCTATGCAGTAAGCTAAGCCAAATCACTCGAATAAAATCACTACTAAGCCACTCGTAGGACAACAGAGACGAAACAGAGTCATGGTCAAAACTCACAGACCCAAAAACCGTTCTCAAAATGACAGCTACTATCCCAGGATGGCCCGAAGTCGCAGACCGAGTGATCAATCGCACTCCCCTTGACCGTCTTCACGATTTCAAACTGATGTGGCGAGAGCCACAGCCCTGCTGGGCCTCGCCTAACGGGCGTGTCGTGCAGATAGGCGATGCAGCGCACACTTTCCTTCCATCTTCTGGTAGTGGTGCTACGCAGGGAATAGAAGACGCGGTTTCAATTGCTGCCTGCTTGGGTCTTGCTGGGAAGGATAATGTTCCCTGGGCTTCGAAGGTTCATAATAAATTACGGTTAGTCGCAAACTACATAGATATATGGACATAGATCGTTCAAGGCCTGATCTAACATTATGTTTAGATTCGAGCGTGTTGCATGCCTCCAGAAACTGGGCATCGTCAACCAAGAGTCCCGGCACCGATCCGTCAATTCCAAAAATGTATCACAATCAAAGTCTAAGGGTTTATTGGCTGCTTGGATCTGGAGACATGACCCGGGACGCTACGCAGTCGAAAACTACGAGAAAGTGCTCGCGCATTTGGTCGAGGGTGTCCCATTTGCTAATACCAACATCCCACCCGGTCATGTCTATAAACCATGGACTATTGATGATCTGCTGGGCGCCAAGGAGCGAGGCGAGGAGATCGAACTTGATGGGAACTGGGATTGAAGTTCGGACTTGGTTGTATTAGTTGGTACTGTACATTGCATCCATTCGAAGTGTCCAAAGTGTATAAACAGTTATAATTACAGAGCCATAGCTCCAACCATGGCACCCATAAGAGCCACAACTCCAAGCACATTGGACGCAGGCATAGCAGCAGCATTATCCGTAGGGGTGCTACTAGCCGCCGCAGAAGTAGAGTTAGCAGCCGAGCTAGGCGAAGCAGTAGTAGTCATCGAAGCAGCACTCGAGCTAGACGGCGCAGCAGTAATGCTAGGAGTCTGCGAACCAGAAGCAGAAGCAGTCGTAGAACCGGAAGAGGAGTCGGACACCTCAGCCTGAGAAGCAGTAGAAGTTGTCACCGCAGCCACAGTAGCAGAAGTTGTCGCCGCAATGGTAGTCGTAGAAGCAGCCTGCTTTCCATTGGGACCCCAGCCCTCGATATAGTCAGGAGTGACTGTAGCAGTGCCCTTGTATCCTCCACAACCGGGCTTATCGGTCTTGGGGGGTGCGCGGCCGCCGCCGCAGTCGAGGAACGAGCAGATCTCGCCAGTGTCCGGGACGTACCAGAGGTAACTGGCGTAGTAGTCGACTACTATTTCCGAGGATACGCAGCCTTCCAGGTCTGTGCGGGCTGTTGCGAGGTTGGCGAGGCTGCTTAAGCCAAGGAGGACGGGGAGAGTGAAGGACTTCATTTTGGGAGTTTGTGAGAGTGACTGGTGGGTTTAACGAGTGACGGCCAGTCAAGTTGGTCAAGTTATTAACGAGAGACGAAGAAAAGAAGGGGTTTCTAAATCTGACAGGGAAACAGGGAACGGCCTGGCTTTTGTAGGGTCCCTTGATTTTAGTCTAAAACATAACGCCACCGGCTTGGGCTTTTTCTTGGGGAGATTAGTCCTGGCTAGATGCGATATTTGGTCAAGAAGAGCCTCAGGGTTTGTTTATGGTTTATTAGCTCATTTTTAGTGGTTTTAGCAGGTTTAGTGTGTTGCATGCAGTAGTTAGTCTGCAGTTCTTTACCCCTAGAAAAGCGCCGATGTTCCGATAGGGCTAAAAATAGCCCCTTTTTTACTTCTCCTTTTAATTGCGCCAACTATTTACTTTTTAACTTGAAGAGAATAGTTTATCATTTTACTTGACCAACTTATAATGTGAGGGAAATGTGGTGGTATCTATAAAATCTGTCATGGATCGACAGCCGAAATTTGTACTTCTAAATGAATACTTACACTCGCACATTAAGATTACCTGATTTCATACAGCTCTATGGAGTGGTAGCATCTAGTCAAATATATACATATCCATCAAACCCGCTGAGCGCGAGCAATGAAAACAGTCTTCTCAATAGCCTTCCCATCGTGAACCAACTTGAGAGGCTTTGGAACGACCTTGTAATCAAACCCACACAGCCCGGCCTCTTCAAAGATTCTCTGCATATCCGTGCGCGAAAAACCATGGGTACTAATAGTCCCCTTGGCTCCGCCAAACCCATGAGGTCCATGATCCTGCACAACAAGATCAATAACCACAAAGACACCTCCCGTCTTGATCCAACTCGCCAGCCGCTGAACACCTAGTCCGGGGTTTTCAAAGTGATGCAGCGCCATGCTAACGGCAACAATATCGAACTTGGGCAAATCCGCTAAACTCTCCTCGACAACGGGGGCGAGCAAATCTCCTGTGCGGCCGACTATCTTCTCGTTGAGATGAGCGGCTTGGGCATTCTTCTCGTATTCCACAATCATACTTGGGGATGTGTCCATCCCCGTTATATGGGTGAGGAATGGAGCTAGAGCCTAGGGTTTGGTTTGTCAGTTTTTGTTCACTCCAGGGCTGCTGAGGACGGTGATGTTAATTGGACTTACAAGTGAGACTGCACCCGTTCCACAGGCATAATCGAGCATGGTAATTCCCTCTCCTTCCTTATTTTCAGCTTTGCCGGCCTCGGTGTCGATCCATTTGTCACTGAGCCACATGCGGTGCAGTAGGAGTTGCTCAGCAAGGGTTCGCAGACCTTCGGCGAAACGTTCCTGGTATATGGGGGCCAATTTGCTAGAAGGAAAATTAAACTGTGTAAGCTTTGCTTGGTCTGTTTGGTTTGCGAATAGGAGCTGGCATTTACTCGAAGTATTTGTGCATCACATCCTCCTGGAATGTATCCGACATGGTTGGCGTAGGGTTGTAAATTCCGTGTGAAGCGTGAAATCCGAAGAACAGCCTGTTAGTATTTGAAATGATGATTGATTGGGAACAGAAGAGTGGTCCTGGTTGAATGTCTACTTTTATATGTGGCTCGGCGACATACTCGGATACTTTTGGTCCTAACAGACCGCCAGGCAAATTGTCGAGCGGACTAAATTATAGTGTGTTCCAACCCAAGCTAGAAGTCGTATTTGACAATTAATCATGCAATATCACCCGCGCCTGTCAGATTCGGCGGGGTTTCGTACTTTGTAAAGTTGGATGCAGTAAGTTATGTGAGTCACAAACGTGGCTGTTTGCTTATTGAGACCAATTAGGGCAACCTTGGAAGGTTCCAACTCAGTACTTAGTCTAAGCTAGATCAACTTCACTTCTGAAATAATTGTCGCTTGGCAATCCCGTACGTGAGACAGACATCGTTAACTGACTCTACGCGATATACCTGTATCGCAACTCGAGCCTTTTCAGTTAAGTTTCAGCCATCCACTGCTCTTGCAAGCGCAGGCTTTCAGCGTCCAGCTCCCAACCACGATGGATCACGAAGGAGCCAAGTGGGTACCCCATTCTCGAACCCTCGAGGGATATATGGACTATTATAGATGTCCTTAGAGCTACATTTGAACATATCATATGATGGAGGAACAACAAAAGCCACAATAGTGAGGGTCTTTGAACCATTCACACTTTCCTGTGTGATGGTCGTTCGATTAGCCTGTTCTACTTTGGCATTGGAAGGTGACATGGTACTGAAGCTTTTGACCGACGTTTTGCGACACAACTTAGGGAAGATGAAAATATCAAGCCTTGGACTTCTCATTTTGAAAAGGGATGTCATCAGTTAATTCTCGATGGCGGTGCGGCAAAGTTTATCCATATGCTGAACACTGACCACGGAAAGGCAAGTGAAGACAGTGACACATGACCGATTCGCAAAACGAAGCCGACGCCCATGGACATATGTCAGGTTTCTACAAGTCAGAAGTTCAAGCATGCAACACTTTCAAGGATATACAAGATATTGACATACCTAAACACTTTGCATGCGTCGCAGTGCCTACCTCACAGGAAACACAACTCAGCTAGTATATCAATACTCCTGAAGTCCTTTTGAAGCACCACGAAGGGTTTCGCTTGGTTGACCCTGCTGCACACGCCCCGAGAGAGAGCTGGTAATTCATCTGTGAAGACGCGATCCGGATTTCAATATCTTCACTGGACGAGGAATACTGAATCTATATGTTCGAACGAGAAGCTTTATCGTACGAGGGAACATGGGAAACGAATTCAAACCTGTAATGATCGATTTTGCATTGTGCAAATTTCCCGAGGAATTCGAAGATGAAGAAGGGGCCACTGGATGTTACATGTAAAGGATCTCACAGAGCCGATTTGATTATCACCAAGATGCTTATAGTCAGAAATTGGATGAGAATCTCAAGATGGAAGATTGAATAGGAGTACAACGGCGGACCCCAAAGGGTATTCGTAGGCGTCTTTATTTTTACCTAGTACACATCAAGCATTATATTATTCTTCTATCTTGATGCTCGCCTAGTAACAAAATGATACAAGTTTGTCATGCTTTGGTATCGGTATCCGATGGATCTTTCATCCTTTTCGATCATATATTGTAGTTTGAGGATATCGATGCTGGTGCAAGGCCCTATGACATTGATGATACTATGTAGAGAGCCTTCAGTGTTGATTCTAGCGTTAAACTCTCTGATCGAGGCATTACTGCTTACTATCTCTCCACATTGTTCAAGTCTTATACTTGTAGAGCGATATATATATTGTTGCTAGAGGGTAATCGGGACTTCAAATAACCAATGCGGTATTTCTATCAGCTCTAATAACACAACATATAAGTACCCGAAGACGAAAACAAATATATAAAACAACGAAAGTAATGATTTAAAGACAGACGTGAAGTCGAAGGCCGTCGAAGCCAAGTAGGCGGTGAGTGAGCTCTCCAAACTGCCAAGGTGAGGACATCATATCAGCTCTCCAGCATCAACACCTCAATTTCCGCATCCCCCGATTCCCTCCCCGGCTTTACCGCGAGCTTCAGTCCATCAACCTCTATCCTTGAATTTACGACGAACATCCCAGCTCTCCGCCATGGAGTCCAAGATCCCCGATTTCCTGGCCGAGCAGCAAGCACAAGGCAGCCCGGAGACGCAACCGTACTTCCTCACCTTTGAAGACCTCTGGGAGCGCAAGCTATGGCACCAGCTTACTGACTCATTGGTCGAGTTCTTCCGCATGCCAGAGAGTGCCCCTCAGCGGTTAGCCATCTTTAAGACCTTCGTGCTCAGCTTCGCCGACCGGATCAACCAGCTCAAGTTTGTGTCCCTGGGATTGATGGCAGCGACAGAATGCGCAGGTCAGTTCTTTTCAGTCTAGCTTGGAAGCTAGGATATCAATGAACTACTTCGATCGTGTTGATACTGACCATTCTGCAGATGACCAAGAACGACTGGGTTTCCTCACATCCCTCGCCAGCAAGGTGGACACAGCCGATACACAGGATGCATACGTTTATGCGCTCGCCGATGTGGCCAATGTCAAGTTGTCATTGAAGGACCTGGAAGGAGCACAGAAGGACCTGGCAACCTGCCAGCGGGTGCTGGACACTTTCGACTCGGTTGAGACCGTCGTGCACGCCTCATTCTACAAAGTGAACGCGGACTACTACAATGTACGTGAAACCACCGTTCAACCACCCACACGAAACTAACCCTCCTTTAGGCCAAGCAAGAATTCGCCTCCTTCTACAAAAACGCCCTTCTCTACCTTGCCTGCATAGACATGGAAGAACTCCCCGAGCCAGAGCGCGCATCACGCGCCTACCACCTCAGTGTGGCAGCTCTGGTCTCCGACACGATCTACAACTTCGGCGAGCTACTCCTGCACCCAATCCTGGACTCGCTGACCGAGACCCCTCACAACTGGCTCCGCGAGCTCCTCTTCGCCTTCAACCGAGGCGACCTGACAGCCTACGACGTGCTAGCTGGCAACATCAGCAAGAACAAGCTGCTGGAATCGCACCGCGTATTCCTGTACCAAAAAATCTCTCTGTCCGCACTGACGGAGATGGTCTTCCGTCGTCCGCCGCACGACCGCTCGCTCTCCTTCCAGGCTATTGCGTCCGAGACGAAGGTTCAGCCCGATGAGATTGAGCACCTGGTCATGAAGGCTCTGTCACTTGGTTTGCTGCGTGGATCGATTGATCAGGTTGCTGGTGTTGCGCAGATCCATTGGGTCCAGCCTAAAGTTTTGGATATGAAGCAGATTGATGGTATGCGAAACCGTCTTAAGGACTGGGACGCTGGTGTTAATCAGCTTGGTCACTGGATTGAGGGTGTTGGAAAGGATGTCTGGGCTGCATAGACTTTTTGATTTATGCGGATCATTACTATTATAATGAATACAATGGTGTGGTCTATGGAGTCTTATCCTGTACTTGACGATTGTTAGAACAATTGGATGCAACCATACCAAAACAGCATCGAATGACCGAGTACATTTGGCTATAGTATCACTGACTATACTAGGTTTCCAGGGTTGGTACACGTAGTCAATTGAAAGAAGAACAATTGATATTACATTTAATATCTAATACCGACAACAATCACAAGCATGGCGAAAGCCATCCAAAGCATCATGCCCAAGTCCACATACATAAGGAGTAAGTAGACGCAATGAATCAAAAATCAAAAGATCGACGACCCCAGATGCACACAACCAATCAACCAAGCAGGCCACCAAACACACCAAACAACAACCTGAGTCCACATCCCCCAAACATCCCAGCCAAACGCAGCCTGCGTAAGAACAGTCTCAACATCAACACCGGCATACCAACAGACACCGACCAGAACCGTCGGCGGGGAAAGCAGATTAAGAACGACCAACCCGAGCGCGGAAGTAATGCAACGGAAAGGCGCGGAGCCCTGGATGCGGGAGATGAAGGTGAGCGGGGCACAGAGGAGACCGATCATGAAGGAGAGGGAGAAGTTTAGGGTTGCAAGGGTTGAGAGGGAGAGGCCTAGGAGGAGGAGGGAAAAGGATTTGATGAGGTGGTATTGCTGGGGGATAATTGGGGATTTGAGGGCTAGGGATGTTGAGAGGAGGGAGGAGAGGAGGAGGGGGAGGATTATGTCTACTATCATGAAGATGTAGGTTGTTGTTTTAAAGTACTAGATGGTTGTTAGTGGTTGGTGTTGCTTTTATATGAATGCTGGGTTAGGACGAACTCACCTGGTGGAAGATGTTGTTGAAGATCCAGAGGGGAGCAAGTCCGAGTAAATGTAGACCAACGACGAGCGAGAGAGGAAGAGCCAGTTTGCGTTCTGCAATGGCATTGGACTTGGTCTTCTCATCGGATGGTTTCTTGGTCTCGGTCTTGGGCTTGGTCTCTGGGTAGTAACCAGTGCGCATCCACAAGGCAATAGCCATGATAGTGAAGTTAACAGCGATGAGCATGGCACTCGGGAGATAAGTTCCAATGCTAACAAAGCGCTGGGACTGCATGAGCAAGTAGAAAAAGAAACTCTGGTGCAGATGTTCAAGCAAATTGTTCAGACTGCGACAGAGACTCTCGATTGTGCGGCCCAGAGCCATTTCATCTTCCCAGCCTTCACCTTTGGGTTGTAGAGTAATAGCATCGATGTGGTATGGCATGAAGCTGCTGTGCGCGCCAGTGGCATATCCGAGACCCTGCTTGGTCATGCCACGGAACATGGTCTGCAGGCGATGCTCGTAGCTGTCATCGTGTGTCCACATCTCTTGCAGGTTAGCTCCGATACCCATCTGCCCGCCTGCGATGGCGACGGCGGTGTTGAAGAGATCAAGGTTGGGTAATTGGCCGTTGACACCGTCGTAGACGATATGGAGGGACTTGAAACGGTGCTCAAATGGGTATTCGATTACCAGAGCTCCTTGTAACGCTCCACTCTTCAAAGGAAGCGGTTGCACTGATGCTGGATGCATGTCGTGGTAGGCATCGATCCAAGCCTGAGTTCCGCTCTTACTGTCAGGAGTGATCAGGAAAATGATATCCTTGGACCATAACGACCATCCTGAGACCCGTCAGCATTTGTATCTCGACGTGCATATACACAGAACCCACTCTTGAAGTATCTCGCCAGGGTCAAGGCCAGAGTAACACCATTTAGATTCAGCTCGTCGTCAGCCGTCTTCCATGCTGCAACCAAAACAATGGCCTCTGTAGCATCACCACGCGGCGCATGGATAATAGCATAGACATTCTCTCCTTGATGCGTGATACCAGCAGAAGTATACTCGTACTTCTGAGTAGCCACCTTGAGTCCAGCAGCTTGCAAGATAGACTGGACCTTGTCCGACACCCTATTCAGCATCAGCGAATTGTCCAGCTCTTCTGATAGAATCAACCTACGCCACGGTCACTTCCACCTCATCCTTTTGCCCGCCCCGTTCTTGTCCTTCATTCAACAGTCCTTCTAGTTCCCGTTTATATCCACGGAAAATATTCTGCTCGCTACCGGTGAAATAGGCATGGACCTGGCCTGGTAGAAGCGCATTCTCGGAGATGTAGGTGTTTCGGGAGTACTCGTTCAGAGGCAGGAGAAGTAGCCAGACTACACCGACGACGATACAAAGGAAGGAGAGGATATTCGGCAGGCGAACAAAGAGGAGGTGAGGATTATTCCGCAGATTGCGGATTGCGGCTGGCCTGGTGTTAGCTGTCTGCCGTGGAGGACAGGTGGTATCCTAGCTGCAGGACTCACATTTCAACGCCATTGGCTTCTGACCATCGGGAGATATCTGTGCCGCGAAGGCGAACCCGATCAATAAAGCAAATCGATTGTTTGAGAGTACAAGCCACCGAGCGGAGATCGAGACCTGGAGCTCCGGTGTTTATACGCGGAGAAGGGGAATTTACGACCGACGATAGAAACCAACTGCGCAGTTATGAACTATGCACACGCTATGCTATTACCCAATGCCCCCAATTCTGCAAATAAAAAGACTCTGGTGAAAAAAATATACAAGAATTAAAAGAATCAAGCTCCAAGACGTTGTGACGAGCCCAGGTAGCTCAGGGGTGTTTGCTCGCCGGCAGGGTTGGTGGTAGGGAGGACTCCGTAGCGACCATAGGTCTTTTGATCGACGGAGACATAGTGAGGCAGACGTCCAAGGAGGTTCAGCTTGCCTTCAATCCAGCGGAGGATTTTCTCGGGGGGAATGAAGACCTTGAGGTATCCGAGGCCGACTGGAGCCGTTAGTGATGGTGATGGAATGACCAGGGAAGAAACTCACGTAGATAGCCGACAAGAATTGCACAGAGATGACCGAGGAAGCTCACATTGGACACCAGGATCGACACGACGACACAGGCGAACAGAGGCGAAGTCCAGGTGGGGATTTTGTAAGGGCCGAGACTGGGTATTGTTAGTGGCGGCTTTGCGATTCCTGTTCGAATGATCGTACCTGAAGTTGGGGTGAGACTTGTAAGTCTTGATGGCCTCGGAGCCCAAGAGCAGGAAAACCCAGATACTGGATATCATTAGCCTCGCAAATATTAGTATGGAACAACAGAAGCATACCTTGCGCCGACCACAGAGGTATTTCTGTGAAGCATAACCTTCTCAATCAAGATATAAAGACCAGCGGGAACAGTCGAAAGAGCTAAATCCCACTATTAGCACATTGACCTCATGATCACGTCGCCGAGGCACTCACGTCCAACAAACAAAGCAACCGCAGTCAGGGTGCCATGCTCAGCCTCGAAGCGCTCCAGCAACGGGGCAACAGCGAGAGCATTAACCAGGGCGTGGAAGAAGCCGGTATGGATGAAAGGGTAGGTATTAAGCCGGTACACTTCAGTCAGTTAGCATGCATCCAATGCGCCCTCAACCTAGGATCGAACATACTAGTCCCCAGACCAATTTCCTCTGGAATCAAAGCGCCCCATTGCACAACACTCCACATCGTTTGCAACTCGAGCACCCAGAAGGCCAGGATGATCAGCAACACTAGTCGGGTGAACAGCGGTAGACGGACGAGATAGGTTCGTACCCGACCCGGATTGAAGGGTAGCGGGGGCAAAGCGGCCGGAGTCACCATGTTTCCTAAAGACTGCAATTGAATGGGATATAGTCTATCCAGCACCCCAAACAGACGATCGGGTTGGGTAGAAGCGGACTGGAGAGTTGGCGCGATTGGGGGAGAAGCGATCGCGGTCGCTAAATATGAGAGGGCAAATGTTCACGATTCGACTGCTAATTTAAACAATGACTGTAGGATGTGCTGCTTGTTAGACTTTTGTTCCCCTCGCACGTCGCACGCTAGAGGCTGACTTCCGGAGATCCCAGGGATAACTCACGAAGCGCACGTGATCTCTAATATTGGGAGTCGACGAAAATGAAAGGAGACCGAGTCGGACCAAGATCGAATAAAATCCTGGGTTTGGCAGTCTAAGAAAGACTGGCGAGAACGAGGTCGAACATGTCGGGCGAATTTGAGTGACTTGTTCTTCGGACGCGTGCATCGGTCACGTGCTGATCTACAGTACATGTACCGGGAACTTCATGCACCATCGGCGATTCTTCGTACTGTATGGAGTATGATTTTGGAAGTATGCTATATGTTCTCTCTTTACAGATACTGGTTGAACCAAGTAACAGCCTGTCCAAAGGCCTGCTCCTTTGCCCACTTCTGCTTGGGGTCGCTTAGATCAGCGCGCACAGCGAAGCCGTGGCTCACGCCGCTGAACAGGTTGATCTGCCAAGGCTGCCCAGCCTTGATGAGGGTCTCCTCAGACTCGTGGCGGAGCTGGGTGGTGAAGATGTGATCGACCTCTGTTTGGATATATTAGTTGATGGTTCTTCTGGTATTTAACAAGCAACTTACCAGCAGCAGCAATGGACAAGGGGCCCTTGATAGCGCCGAGATCCTCGTGGGTCACGAAAGAGGGGTGGGCAGAGAAACCAACGTCGATCTGGTTGGGCTTCAGGTAGCGGCAGACGTACTAACAGCAATATTAGCATTCGGCCAATTCACAATGCTCGAAAATCGGATCTTCGGATCTCGGCTACACATACCTTACCGCCGAAGCAGTAACCAACAGCGGCGACCTTCTTCACACCCAGAGTCTCACGGACATACTTGATAGTCGACTCCACAACAGGGTCTACGGCACTGGGCTGATGCTTGGGCAGCCAGCTGGAAAAGTCGACCTTGCCAGAGTCCATGTCGGCAACGCTGATATTATCACCCTGGAAAAGATCCGGGATCACAGTGAGGTAGCCATTGTTGGCGAACTCGTCAGCGAGGAGCTGGGAGTTGCTGAAGATACCGAAGATATCGGTTAGAAAGACAATGGCCTTCTCGGGGGTCTTGTTGTCCTTGGGGTAGACGACGTAGGTGTCGACTGGGCATGGTTAGTGACGGTTCCTGAAATGACCCGACATCGAGTAGATGCATTGAATTGCTATCTTACCGCCGTCGATGTTCTTGGTCTCGCCGACGGGAGTACCCTTGTGCTTGAAGCCAGAGGCGCAGCAGGCGCTAGGAGGATTGGAGGCCATTTTGAAGTATGTATAAGAGTGAGAATGTTCAGAAAATAACGTAGGACAGCCCCTCCTATAAGCTTAGCCGTCTCATGCCGTCGCATCCATGTTCTCCAATCAACCTCTGTCCGAATCTCCACTTGCCCATTGCCCCTCGTGGTAACGTTATTACTAGCGAATAAACTGCTGTGTACTCTGTGTACTATCAATTACCAATTAATCAGGAATCTGCAGATCTTAGGTGTTTAATATTTTATAGCTATGAACTAAAAACTAATAGCATGTACCTGATTGCCGTACTCGGACTTGGATATGCTGTAATTGCCGTTCCGTAGTACAGTGACGGTTCATAACATCCCCTTGGCCCCACATATATACCTACCGCCTGCCTTTATAGCCCATACCATCTGTATTTGACGCGCTAGTGAATTTCGTATCTCTCGCATTTCTCACTTCTTCAATGTATTTCGCCTCTTTTATACTCAAGATAGCATCCCGTTGTGTGCAGGCAATAATCGAGAGCCAGGGATAGTATACACAGTATTATTTACGATGAAGGAGGTTTTTGTAGGGCAGAATATTATATAAGCAAATATGGGGCTGGGATGTTCACTGTACACACGGGGTTAAGCTCTAACTCCGCAATCACTCGGACTTGGACGTCGAGCATAGAATTGAACAGTGCTACGGGAGCAAACCTGAATGACCTCGCCTCGCGGATAGTAGATGAAACAAAAAGTGAATAACAATATATAGCAAGACAAATAAACAAAAAGTAAAAAAAGAAACGTCCCCGGGAAGGCTCGAACTTCCAACCTCCTGATTAACAGTCAGACGCGCTAACCAATTGCGCCACGGAGACGAACTTGTTGCCACGAAGGCCTCCCGATGAATTCCATTTCCACTGCATTCCCCTTCAAGCATTCGCCCCTCCATCAACACCCCAAGTCGCACCCGTAACATATCCAGCCTCATCACTCAAAAGAAAAGCAACGACATTTGCAACCTCAGATGCACTTCCAAGTCGACCGAGCGGTACCGCCGGAGCAGTACCCTCAGCACCACTCTCCTCATTCGCACGAAGCATAGGAGTATCAATAGGACCACTAAAGTCAACCAAACCAAACCAGATCAGCTCTAATTCAAAATGAAATCCAACCAGGCCAAACTTACGGCATGACACTGTTCACACGGATACCCCGTCTACCACCCTCAATGGCAGCACTCTTAACCATACCAATCACAGCATGCTTGCTGGCACTATACACCGAGCCCTTAGCGAATCCCCGCTCAGAGAACATACTCGCTGCATGAACAATGCTCCCTGGCTCCTGCAGCATACCAGGTTTGAGTGCTTCGCTAAGGAAATTGAAGAGACCTTTCACGTTGACGTCCATGATAAAGTCATACTCCTTCTCATCGATCTCCCAGATTTCTTGGTGGCCTAGCTTGTGACCTGCAGTTCCGGCGAAGTTCGCAATGCCGTCGATTTTACCAAATGTGCTCTTTGTGGATTGCAAGAATGTCGATACAGCTGATCGGTTTGTGATGTCGACTGTGTGGGTGATCACCCTGGTTTGCTGCTCTTCGTTGAGATCAAGGAGGAGGGTTGAAAGTCCGTCTTGCTTTGTATCACATATGCCCAGGCGTGCACCCCGGTTGAGCAACATTTTTGCTGTGGCTAGGCCCATTCCTGATGCACCTCCAGTGATAATGAAGACTTTGCCTGCAACGGACGACATGTTCGTAGTGTGGAATTGATACTAAGTGAGAATAAATTTTGAAAGCATCTCTCCTGCTCTTATATATTCTACTTAAGTTTGACATGATTTGGTTCACGCACATTGATACCCCGACGGGAACCATATGATTCGCGGAGAGTGCCAAGCCCATGCAAGTTGATGACAGCGGAGCCGAGACCTTGCTAGAGCCGATCCGCTTACATTTTATAGTATCCACGGTATAACAGTTTGAGGTTCATAGACATGACATTGCATTATTTCCAACATCTCTACCACATATGTAGGCAAGAAGCCCCCATTATTACCGCATTAGACCATCAAACATATCACGTCGAATATCATGTCCTTGAACAAGTGCTAGAACATTTTCGGGGGACAGGAGACAAATATGTCAAACCACACGCAAGGACTCCATATATCCCGAACAAAAGAACAAAACCTCAGTGTAATAGGGGTATCAAAGGGAAACCAGTGCAGGTTATTCACGGGAAGCGGAAGGTAGGCTGTGGGCGCTGGGTACGCTTCACGGCCCAGGCCTTGATGGCAATGCATAGGATCTCGTAGGCCATGATGAAGGCGCTGAAGCCTAGGCCGACGGTGAAGGTGAACATTGCGTCGATCTTGTAATACTCCATAGCTTCGATCACATTGCGAGTCTGGAGCGTTTAGTATTGGTATTCCTGTGAGACGAGAGTGAAGGGTTTGTGCACTTACGCTCATCATGAAAATGAGACCTCCCGAGATCAGACAGAAGGAAGCGATGATTTCTGTCGGGGGTCGAGCTGGGAGGTATGAGGTTGGTGGCTTGAGGAACAGTAGGACGTAGGTCATGCCGCGGGCCAGCGCGAAGCCAACTAGCATGTTGCCCCATTGCTTGTGCACCATTGTCGAGGTCATGCTAGTTTGATGGTGCGAGCCCATCATCATGCCTAATAGCATGATGATTAGGGCTGGCATCGGGTTCAGGGAGACGCGCTGAGACCTCGGTAGTTGCCAGGCTTCGTCTGATGAGCCGAGGGGGTTTGAAGGATTGTACCATTGAGCCAGTCGCGAATGCGAGTTGACTCGAAAAGCATACCAAGCTAGATATGTTAGCGATTGATCTCTATATATTCTCTATACAGAGGAAGTAAGTGTATGGAACTTACCAGACCACCGCCGAAGAACAGCACGGAGATCGAGACATGCTCGAGATCAGTAGCAGACCATTCACGGCCTGCATTGGATAGGTGCTCCAGGAAGACATTGGTCACTCCATAGAGGAAAATGACAAAAGACTCCGTGGCCTCGCCAGTAGGAACCTTGGCCTTCCAGGCACCAACAATAGACGCCGAGGGCTTCTTGTTCCAGGCCCAGCCAAGATCTGCCCAGCAGCCGACATAGCGTCCAAGAGTGAGAACGCCGTACCAGAAGAAAATGCCACCCTTGATCCAGTGGGCAAGTCCGTTGAAAATCTCACGGTCTCTCATGATACCACCGTATGTCACAGCGCCGGTTGTTATAGCGACAAACCCGAAGGGAAGAATGATCCGATCAATGACATTATACACTGCCCTCAAGCCACGGAGAGCGCGACTGGACATCATATCAGGCATATATTCAGCGATGAAACGGCCAACATTGGTCTTTTGGAACCAGCCGGGTGAGCCGGAGACCTTAGCAGGCAACTCCTCGGGCTTCTCAAAGCCGTCATACTCAGGGGACCATCCGGAAGGTGGCGATCCAGGGCTACGGATGGAAGGTGAGTTGCTGTCAGTTCCCTGGCCGCTGTCGCGAGACCAGCGGTACTCGTGCACGGCACCATTGGGGTAAATGTGTTCATGATCATCAGTCGACACAGGCAAGAAACCAGCGCGTTCATACTTGGGCGTGGTTGACTGGCCGCGACCAGCATATGCGAAGATCAAAGCCAGGGCAACCTGAACTGTGATCACCGATGTGATGATCCAGCCAATCTTGTGGTGTGCATTGTTTTCGTACAGATCGGGTGTCTGGTCGTTATAGATAATTCCGAATAAGAGACCGAACGCGTTGAACACCAAGAAGAGGAGTTGCGATGGAAGGGCCAGGCGTGAACGCGCAATACTGAGCATGACACCTATTGACAAGAAATCAGTCTCATCTTCTTTGTCCAGGTTTCGCGAGCTACTTACCGACTGGAAGAACGAAGCACCAGCCCAAAACCATCAGGGCAATGTGAGCTATAATCGAGCTGGAGTGCTTCCCATACGCGAAATAGCTCATCGGACCATCAGGGGTAGCATGTGCCGCAGTAGTAGTAGGCTGTGGTACCGCAGTGCTGGCACCCATATCCATTCCCATGTCCATTGATTCATCATCGCCATGAGGGAGCGCGGTCGCAAGTGATGCGAAGACAATCGCCGCCAAGGCGACTCGAGTAGCTATATGACGCATCGAGAAGATGAAATATGAAGATGCGAACGGGCTCGCGTCACTGTTATGTGTAGAAATGCAAGTTCAGAGATGTAGAGCTCCAACCAGAGGGTCGAAGCTCTATCGAATCGTGACGTAACGATGCTGCCAAACCCGGTAACAAGGCCCGCGATTATGCTTATGTTTTATAGTCCTCCACGATATGACGGACTACTTGATGTCATGCACCTACTTGTTAGTGGGTGGTGGTGAAGGTGATGGTGAAGCTGTAGGGCTGAGGGAAGTATACCGCGACTGGGTCCGGGAGGGAATGCAACATATAAGAGTAGAGATTTGCAGGCGGGGCTTATACAGAATTAATAAAGCGATGCAGAAACCAGGTAAATAGTTTAAAAAAAAATTAATAAAAAAAAATGCTGATTTCCAATGCTTCGGCATTAAAAGGTGCGTGGAAAAAACGCACCGAGGACCCCTCCGAGGCCGAATCCTTTGATTTCCGGTATTTCCGTTAATCTTATTCTAATCTTTTTGCGCAGAAGTATATAAACAGCAGTGTAGCCAAAGCATTATAGCTAGTATCGGTAGATATTCATCTTCTGCCTCGACTTTACAAACATGACTGAGGGTGAGGGCGAATGCACAGGGCTGTACGGAGTAGACTAGAGGTCTTGGCAATATAATTACTAAAATTTTTAGCTCGGGAGTCTCGGGAGCCTGTTTTGGACACTGACTTCACATTGATTGTATGACTGCGTCGACTGGAATTTGCGCACTCTGCCAAGTATGTACAATTAACTTCTACTTGCATCAGACTGTGACGTAGTCGATCGCTGCCCTATTGGGACCTGGATTCACCGCTGATCCCTGATCTCTTTGAAGAACTTGTTTCCCACTGTACTGTACTCCGTGGGCTACTTTCGTGGATCTGCGTGGATATCCGCTTAGTTCATGCGTCTTCTAACCTTCTAGCCCTCCTGCGATCCCAGCAATTTATGACATTTCACATGTAAGTAACAAAGATGTAGGCTAGGATCAGTTCCCCCAATCAGCAACAAGATGATCCTAGAGTAAATCAAACCCCCTGTCAGCTGCTCCTTTCATATCCCTGTCTCGGCCCTCGCTTTCAGCTCTCCGAGCCGCACTTTTGAGTTGGGCCCATTCTGGTGGGTACAGTATGGAAGTAGTCTCCACGGATATATGATATAATATCTCGGAAGTTGTACGGACCTACGGGAGAACGGCATGGTGGACAGGAACCCGGCATCTCCAAAGTACTTTTGAGGTAATTACCCAAGTAGGAGTCCGCTCGTAAACTCATGAACCTGCACAATGATGTTATCCCGAGCTCCGCCCTTGCGTAAAGTTTACCTACACACTAAGATTATCATTAACAATCAATTCCACTGCTGATAAATCTCTCGTGAATATGTACTGTATGCACCGCATCATGTGGCCTCAATCGCCAGCTTGCATGTACCGCGAAATACCAATAGCCTCCCTCCCAAGCGCGCCTCATGGCCTGTGCAACGTGCAACACAGTTACTGCACTCCAGATTCCACCTCCTAGCCAAGCCGATTTTTCCCTGAAGAGTTCTCTCACTCAGTCGAGGCCAAGCCCGAATCCGCGGATCTTGGCGGTCGGCATCCGCAGGCATCCGGCTCTAGACCTGAAAGGCTGGTATATCCACGCACTGGATCTGCGACTAATTAGCACGGAACGCTAAGTCCGATGTGTTTCCGAATGCCTCGTGTTTTTGAGCTGTCATATGACTCACTCTTATTCATGGTCATGGCTACATCTGAGGCCCGAGTGGCTGGCGACGGCGTACTCGACTGGTCTCTTTGGGTGCAATGTACACTTGCGCTGCATGCTGTACAGTGCTATAGATCATACGGTGTGACCTACAGCCACTCTGTATGCCATGCATTGTCATCCATTTTGTATGTCCCAATGGCTTCGCGGGCAGTAAGCACATGTATGGGACTAGCCTATGTCTACTTACTGTGTGCTAGACCAGAGGTTACCCAATATTCCAGCCCGAGATCAAAACCTACTTACTGTAGTACCAGTTAAGAGATGTCAAATTTGACACGGATAGGGACTCAAATCTCCGATTCTTTTAACATCAAATGATCGACATTCTCACAGACTCGAAGGGTATCACCATAAGAGTATAGCTTCGGATGCCCGGCACTACAACTTCCGCATTTCGGGTCTGATCGTGCCGTTCGCCAGGGGTAATTGGCGCCCAAATGCATCGTGCGAACGTTTGAGATCAACACGGGTGCATTTCGGAACGGTTATGAATGCTATTATGTGCATAAATACTGATCACTTAAAAGGGATGGCATGTTTACCCCGGATATTAGGAGGGTTTGACTAGACTTAAGATGTACGTACCTGCACGGACAGGTGCTATAACAAAGCTGAGAAGATTGGATGTCAGAAACGGTTCATCCATCTTCCTATTGCGTTTCAACATAGGACCCGGTGTCGCTTGAACAATGTAAGATGATATTGCCGACTGAGGTTTCCTTCCAGTCAACAGAACACAGCAATGCAATTATACCAGACATTGGACTGGTTCTGTACTTCTGTTATTGTTCAAATGCCAATCTCAATGAGTTGTGGACCTCGCATTCCAAGGTGTGGTCCTTCCAAGCAGTTGAGTGAGCAGCACAGCCTATCCGTATATTTTTGGGTCACATTTAAAAGCCTAGGAATGGCTCAAATAATGCGATGAAAACAATGCCAAACGAGGTCGAAATAAGAAAATCAACTGCGAAGTATACAAATTGTGGCCTGAGGCATCAGGATTACATGATCACCCCATAAGCGAGTCCGGGTGGCCCGTGCCCTCCCCGTTCGGGAAGCACACAACGCAAAATTGAACCTAAGCCTTCGACTCTTCAACACCCAGCGCCGCCGACTCTCGTCTCGTCAACAACCCCGTCAACTCCCAGGTCCCGCCTTCAAAACCTCAAGATGACTCACGAGAGCGTTTGGTACAGCCGCCCCCGCAAGTAAGTCAACCTTCAAGCGCACACAGGCACACCCAATCTCGAAAAAAAAAGATCAAGCTGACTGGTTCCCCGATAGGTACGGCAAGGGCTCCCGCGAATGGTGTGTTCACCCTATAAACCCCGAGAATGGAAACAGACGACTTCGAGAATGAATGGAGGAAGCGATCAACAATAAGAAATGGGATTTGCTAACTTGTGTTCGATGAACAGCCGTGTCTGCTCCCACCGCGCCGGTCTCATCCGCAAGTACGGTGTATGGAAATCTCTTTCCCGGCATTCATTTTGAATGTGTGATCTGGCATTGGATCCGAGTGGCTAACATCTATTACAGATGAACATCTGCCGTCAGTGCTTCCGTGAGAAGTCCACGGACATCGGTTTCAACAAGGTTCGTTCACCCTTCGCTCGATAGTTATCCCAATTCGAATACACATCACGCGTCGCACACATCCACGACATGAGAATTCACCAATGGAACTCGCACAACATCACCATCCACCACCAACACATGTCCACACAAATACACATACAGGACCCCAAACTAACAATCCAACCTTCACAGTACCGCTAAGCGAACAAAAAAAACCATGTCCATTTCTGACTCCTTCCTCTCGAACCGTTCACATCCACGAAATCCATCTACGTGCCCGGCTCGACTACGGTAGCGTCCAGTGGAGGAATGTTTCAGACGAGCTCAAAAATGGCGTCCTTGAATGTTTTGATGCAATGAAAGATGTCGGAGACGATGTCTCGGATGTGGATTCTTTTTAATTCACTTTGGCTCGAGTGGAGGTTTTGGGGGTTGTTGTGAAGAGTCGTGAAAAACAAGGATGTCATGTTATTCCCGAATCCTGGTTTTTTCCTTATCCTATTTCAATGACGGAATTTTTCTCTGGGATTTTTGTTTCCTCTTTTCTATCAGCTCTGCTTGAGATGGACTTGAGGGATCTGGATGGGGTGGGGATGGAGTATTGCTTGCTCTGTTTCTCTGCCTTGTCTTTGGCTGTGGTTGTAGATTTTGGATTGCACGAGATGGACATTCTAGATGGCTGTGCCTGGTGTCTGGTGTCCGTGCGTGCTGCTTAGTAGGGCTGTAAGCGTTGGTGGGACCGTATACTTGGTCTTTATATTCCCTCAAGGCACGACCTACAGTCGAGAACCGCCTTCTGTAGAACTACACTACACATCAAGGCAAAGTGAGAACAGCATGATCAATTTCATCGATAGTAAACAAGTCCCCAGGTTCTAAGTCTGTACAATGCATCTCAAAAAAGCAGAAAACGCCATCCCATAGTTCCATATTGATCTGCAGTAATTCTGCTGTTAGCCTAACGTCCCATAAGCGTTGCCTATCGTCGCCCATCAGAGCGAACAGAACGAATGCTGTAAAACAAGAGATAAGCATCCTGGCGGAGGACATCGGCAACGCTAGCGACGGTGACCTTGTTGTCATCCATCAATACCCACTAGAAATGAGTATATTAGCATAAGCACATATCAGAAAAAGCAGTTGAATGTATGACAAACCTTGTCACCTCCAAGACGAGTGTAGGCAAAGTAATGACCAGTATCCATTGTCCCTTGGTGAACGATGACGGTCGAGAGATCGTAAATGTACTTGGACATATCAACAGGCTGGTTATCCTTCTTAACGGTGTAGGGCAGCATGTTGACAGTCAAGGGGAAATCAATGTGGCCATCCACCTTCTCAGATGAGGCCGAGGTGTGCTCATAGCGCTATAAAAGTTTAGAATGTGGGTGTGAGAGGGCCAATGGTATGATACGAACCTTCAGCTGCATGCATAGGATAACAGGCAGCTTGCGAATCTGCAGACGCTTGGATGCGCGCTGGGGGGTATTTCCGCATTTCTCGCAGTGGTAAGCTGCATCTGCGTGGAGGTCTTCGGGAGCAGTGAAACTCTCGAGACAGCCAATCAGAGTAGCAGTAGAAGAAGTAGTCGCGCGACCTAGCTTGCGCTTCTTGTTCTGGAGCTGGATGTCAAGACTGAGATCGGCCATTGGGTCGTGGGTGTTAGTTGTCTGGCCGCATTTGTGGCACATGACGCTGCTGCGTAGCTCGCCGTAGAACATCTGATGGAAGAAACAGGTGCATTTCTTGTCGTAGCTCTCAGCGTGGCCGGGCGTGCAGGAGTGGAGACCGTTGACTAGGAACTGAAAGTATTCGTGTGCATCTTGCTGGCGGTATCCAGCCATTTCCTGGGAGTAAAAAAGTTAGCTGGTTGTTCTATTCGCTCATCTGAATGTCGACATACCTTGGACGCATCCCAACCGTAATAAAGGAGCGTAGCAGCTGAGACGGCCTCGGCTCTCTCGCCGCTGTTGAAATCGGTGAATACCTCGGTGGTCGCACAGGCGAGACAGGATGGCCTCTGGCACGTGTGGACATCATGACCACCTGCCAGGAAATAGGCATTGAGACTCGGGTCGTGAAGAAGGGCTTGGAGGATGACGGCTTGATAGCAGGTCTGTCCCATGTTCCATACGCCACGAGCGCCTCGTTTCATGCATGGATTCTTGTAAGCGTTGTTCTTGACATAGACCTCGGAGGCCGAGTCCTCGGCCCAAATCGCTCGACCTTCTATCAGACGTCAATTTCTGAGAAACACAATGTACTGGGTATTGCGGAATTGCCTGGAACTCACCACCAATTTCAAACTTTCCGGACGGACCACGGATTCTGTCCAGGCCATGGTCATAGATGAAATCTTTGCAGCTCTCACAGAAGACATAGCGGCTGCGAGATTCCATGTCTGGTGTGTATTAGCAATGAACAACATTGAAAGATGATGCCAGCATACAAAATTGATGTCCAGTGTCTGCGGTATGCGCCTTTCGTTTGGTGCCCAAGCAAATCTCTGAGCAGCTCAAGCAGTGGTATTTTGGCTTCAGAGACTCGACGGTTCGAAGACCAGTGGTTGGTACAGCAACCGTCTCGGTCTTGGAGTACGGAGCCAGCATTTTGTCATGCTTACGAAACTCATTCTTGAACTGGACAGCAGTCTTCTCGTCCTTGGAGAGGAAGGCCGCAAGATGTTCTATCAGAAGTCAGCGTGAAAAAGGAGCAATGCCAGTTCCAGTGCTTACCGCAGCCGAATGCTGCTTCGGAGAGAATTTGCACAGAATCGAGAGTCGCCATATTGGAAGAGACGATCAGGCACTAGAGGGCAAGTGGAAGAAAGGAATGGAAAAGATGAAAAGATGGTGGGAAAGAGATGATAAGGACGAGATTCAGGTGTAGAAAACAAGTGACAATGCAATGGCACAATGCAAATAGGGCCAACCTAAGCTCCCTCTATTCAGAGGCGCTTCGGAGGTTGAATGCGAAGATCCAAGGGAGAGGCTGGATCAGAAGCAACCAGGTACAGCCTCAAGGACTCCCCCTGAATAGGGCCAGCATTGCAGCTATAAGAACAATGTCAGCTGCGATCAATACAATGTAGACCAAAACGGCTCACGATGGCAAACGAAGGAGAGACAATAGCCGAATGAATAGCGGATTTGTAGTCCACACGTCACAAATCACTTGACTTGGGCTAATGGCACAGTCTATTCAACCTATTCAACAATAGACAGCTTGCGCAATGGATGTCTCTGGTTCTTCGTACTTGGATGATTGTCGGAGGTTGCGGGCGGTGGTTTTTCGCCCCTCCGATTTACCGCCGGAGATTGGCAGAAGTGTCCATCTATACATGACATGCATACTTACAGTAGTCTATATGCTATTTGACTCTGCGCTTACATGGAGCCTCTGTTTCATGTTGTACAACCTGTCGCGCTTACATGGTATGTGGCTTAATAATGTTTATCTCTCCATGTGGGAATCATAAGCTTGTAGATACAGGAGGTTCTCTAGATAGTCCCATCCGAGCATAGCTCAGGTCCAATATAAAAGACCAATAGTCAATAGTCTATCGCGACGGAGCGATAGGCTATCACCTAAGCTGGCGCATGGCCTGTCGCATGGACGAATGCGCTATGCTGCGACGTCTCTGGGTATGGGCACTTCTCATCATAAAGACACTCTTTACCTCGTCCCAGTCCCCCTTCCCCGAGGCAGCGCACTCGGTCGAGCACCGCGCGCAGCACCGCGCGCAGTCCCTCTGGTTGTGTACCGACTATTCGCCCCTCCGCGGGCAGTACCTCGCGACGCGACGCGCCCAGCTGCACTGTACTTGGAGGTCGGTTTAGAGGAGACAGTGCTCGGGGGATTCTCAACAAAGGTCGTATCGGTAGTCCTGCAAGGCAAGAATAGTCAGCAAGTGTTATCCAATATGAGCATCGTCCAGCTCAACGGCCAACCCACATAAAAGTCATCTCGCCATCATCAGCCGGTCGCGTAGGCTCTGCTTCCTCCTCTAGAGAATCGATTAGCAAGACTGCATCATGGATCATGGATATAGTTCTTATTCCTTTAATACCTTTCTCTTCTTCCTGTTGTTTAGCTCTCTTAAAGGAATCGGCAATGGGCGCCTATTCAATGAATCAGTACCAGTCGCGCATTATTCCCCCGTTATACGCGTCTTCAATCATACCTCTGGGAAATCAACACAGAAGGCATTCATATTCAATCCGTAGAGGAAACTGGCGAAGCTCTCGCTGAAGCGCGTCAGGCTCTCGTGCATCAGCTGCAGGTGCATGAAATTGGCCTCCAGATCTGCCATGGAGTCGGCCAGCTCGGCGAATTGTGGTTCCAAGGCATTTATGGCAGGTTGTGTGTATCCTGCGGTGCCGATGCTGTTTCCATATCCATGTGCTTCTCGTAGTGAAGAGCGCGAGCTTGGGCGAAGAGGGGTTGTTGGTCGTGATGAGGGCCGAGGGCGCGAGGTTGATCGTGGTCGGTCCATTGTGTGTTTATGTGAGTTGAGAGGTTGTTGGCTAAGCAGATCGAGGATCTTTTCGTATGGAGGAGGAGAGCGAGGCAATTTGATTATCGGACTTGGTGATTTGCGGAGGGGAGTGTTGATCTCCGGGTTGGGCACACGCGACACTTTTAATGTTAACTATAACGTTAAGTCGATCGATGGACTCCATAGTAATTAAATGAGGTATAAGGAGAAGTTCATAGTAATTGATTTGTAGTTTGTTAGGCGAAGATCTTCCCCGCATCGTCATCTTCATTTGCCTCCTTGGTTCTTCTTCTCTCGCACTGTTCCGTCTACACACTTCACCACAACCACCCTGCATATGCGTGCTGGCTCGACTCTCTGCCGTCTCTATTCCTCGGCCAAACCCTTCCCTCGACGTTCATTTCGATCCTACTCCACATACCGGACAGAACCCAGGAAGGCCGCGTCTTTTTGGACCCTCTCGTTCACCCTTCTAGCAGTTGGAGGAGGCGCCTGGCTCCAGGACAAATACTACAACAGCCCAAAGTCAACAGAAGCTCCCTCGCCTCGGCTTCCTCGACAAAACCAATCCCTGAACTTCCTCGGTGTAATTGATACCCTCGAAACGATGCCTGCCGAGCCAGCGCCCGGAACAGTCGGGAACCTCACGCCAGAGCAAGAGGTCAAGCTGAAGGAATTCTGGGTCCTAACCCTGAAAGTCTTCGGTCTAAACCTGGGAGACATCGAAGCCCCAAGCCGCCAGTCGACCAGCGAACCCACCGCCCCCAGTCCGGCGCCGGATAAAAAGAAATCCAAAGGCAAATGGTCACTCTGGGGCAGCCGCGATGAAGATGACAGCAAAAGCGCCACCCCAGAGAGTGGCGCCTCCCCAATCATCGCACCAGAAGGCGACGACAAGTACGGCCAGTCAAAGGAATACAAGCAAGCACTGGAAGACATGAAACCAGAAGAGATCCGCACAGCATTCTGGAGCATGGTCAAAGGCGACAACCCGGACTCGCTGCTCCTCCGATTCCTGCGTGCGCGCAAGTGGGACACGAAGAAGGCGCTCGTGATGCTGATTTCGACGATGCGCTGGCGACTGCAGGAGATGCATGTCGACGACGATATCATGTTCAATGGCGAGGCGCTTGCGCTGAAGCAGTCGCAGGGCTCTGACCCAAAGGAGAAGAAGAAGGGTGATGATTTCTTGACGCAGATGCGTCTTGGCAAGAGTTTCTTGCATGGTGTTGATCGGGCTGGTCGGCCTATTTGTGTTGTGAGGGTTCGTTTGCATAAGGCTGGTGATCAGGATAATGAGGGCCTTGAGCGGTTTACCGTTTATACGATTGAGACTGCGCGCTTGTTGCTTGCTCCGCCCATTGAGACTGCTACTATTGTCTTTGATATGACTGACTTTGGTATTGCGAATATGGTATGATTCCTGCTCTGTTGGTTCGTCACTTGTACTAACCTTGTCTAGGATTATGCTCCTGTGAAGTTCATGATCAAGTGCTTTGAGGCCAACTACCCCGAATCCCTCGGAACAGTTCTCATTCACAAGGCACCCTGGCTCTTCTCGAGTTCGTACCCCTCCTTCATACAGCTCATTTCTATTCTAACATTACCACAGGCATCTGGAGCGTAATCAAGGGCTGGCTCGACCCAGTTGTCGCAGCCAAAATCCACTTCACCAAAAACCGCCAGGATCTCGAAAAGTTCATCCACCCCAGCCAAATCATGAAGGAACTCGAAGGTGACGAAGACTGGGAATATAAGTACGTCGAGATCCAGGGCGAGGAGAACCCCAAGATGGCCGACAAGGAAACGCGCGACTCGCTGTTGGCCGAGCGTCAACAGCTGGCCAAGGAGATTCAGGATACCACGATCGAGTGGATCCGCGCCAGCTTCAAGAAGGAGACTACCGCTGTCTCTGCTGCTGAGGAGAAGCGCAATGGGTTGGTTGAGCAGCTCCGGAAGCAGTACTGGGCTATCGACCCGTATGTGCGGGCTCGTTCCTTGTATGATCGCACTGGTATTGTGAAGGGTGATGGGAAGATTGAGTTCTATCCCAGTGCTGAGAAGAAGGACGGGCCTGCGTAAGTTCGGTTTGATTTGGTATTTGGTTTTGATGGTCATGTTGTCTCCGATTTTGGTCATGTTTGATATTTAGAATCTGGTTGGCATTTTGTAGTATATACAGATACAGATATGGGTTTTGGGTAACCGGCTAGAGAATATACAATAGTTTTGGTTAATTTATCGGGGTCGTAAATGACGAGTGGGTTCAATTGACTGTATTGGTTCATTGGACATCTAGGAACTGGGATAAAACGGTTCCATTTCGTCATTGGCTTTTACCTTGATGTCCAAAAAGAGCACATTACATCTTCGACTTGATCTCCTCGTGGAGAGCCTTGAGCTTGTCCATATCTGTTGCCTGGGTGGGCCAGCCAATGCCCAAACCCTCCTCCTCGTTGGGCTTTGGGATCTAAATATCTCGTTAGTACATAACGGCCATCTCCAAGCTCCAAAGGAAGCATTTATCTTATGAATATAACATACCATGTGGAAGTGAACCTAAACCAGAAGCATCAGCACTATACAATATCAAAGAGGGCAATTCAAACTTACATGATCAACAACCTGGTGCGCAATCCGGCCATTGTTCTGCAGGATATTGAAATCAACGGCACCACTAGCCTTGGCAATCTTCTTTGCAACGGGCTGTATAAAATCCGGTCAGCAATTTATTCTCCGGCGTCTAGCGTCTCGTCCCAGGGACCTTGGGGGACATCCAAGACCCCAGTGATGTAACCCCGCGTCAATCACGAGCAGAGCTTGGAAACATAAACCTCCTCTCTCCTTTTCACATTATCCGGGTTTATGATCCGATGCACTTACCAGAATCTCAACCAGGTCTTCGTCGGGGAGATCAGTCAGTTTAGCGCCGTGGAACTTGGGAATGACGAGCTATCATCCTGTCAGTTTGATATTCCTCATCTCTACTCTATATCCTGTGAGCGACAATGGAGAAACTGAGTCACGAGTCTGGATGACAGACGCGCATCGGTTTCACCAGGAACGCAGTGAATGCGGATGCGGGGGAAGGAAAGGGAGTTCGCACCGCATGGCCACGGCTCAGTGGCTGGATATCGAGGAAAGCAAAGACCTTTTCACTCTCGAAGAGCTTTAAGGAAGGGATATCACCTATACAACGGGGGAGGTGTCAGTCAATCACTTGAACAGGTATGACGTCTCTTCTCGTCCACGGTGAGGATGCGCGAACGCAGACTCGTGAGCGGTGATGGGATTAGACATACCCTTGATGATTTTGCAGAAGATACAGGCGGCAGAGGACATGGTGAATTGATACGGTATAAGAGGGAACAGTGGAAATGAAGTAACGTTATTGTTGTCTACCTAGGTAGGTTGTGAGCTGTCGGGCGGTAGCTAAGCTGATTATGCGGGGTCAAATAAAATAAATAATTCGCGCGAAGCTCGACTCGAACATCGACCGGCTACTGTGGGGCACTGCCTAATTTGGAAAACCAGGCTGTTAAGTAGGTCAATAGGGAACGTTACCTGAGGAGTGGGACAAGCTAGTTCAGAACTCATTTCTTGCCTTTTACCAGAGATGACCGTGGTTTGCCCACAAAACTCCTCTTAACAATCTTTGGAACCACAACGCGACAAAGCCGTCGTTTTTTTATTTTTGTCGATTTTATTTTGTTACCAAGATAGATCTTAATCTGCTACTTTCTGTCAATTTACTTGTTTTGGTTGGGGCTGCAGCCGGATGGTTTGAGGTGCGTGTGTCTAGTAGATGCGTGCCCATATGTGAATGGATAGTTTCCTGTCATGACTGGACTAGTTGTTCTGCTGCAGGATATGCTCTCCTGTCATTCTGTTAGCTGAACGAGATTCTAAAGAAGGATCAATCTATTGGAACAGAATTAGGGGATCATAACATCTAAGACCTGTATACTCTGTACATTGTCAATATATAGATATACCTCCCTAGTAGGCAGTGAACCACCCAGATCTCCAAATACCTAGATGTATATCGATGATATTACATAGCAGTAAGCTAAGAAGCTCCAATGGCACTGTCTAACCCGATAGAAAGCCGTGTGGATGGAGTGAACCCATATTGATATATAGCAGAGCATAGTAAAGCTGGGGAATATCCAATCACAGGCCCCGTGTTGTCAGATCATAATAGTCATTTCACCAACAGAGACACCACAAGGAGAAAATACACAAATTGAGCAGACCGAACACATTGTAACACCATAAAAAACCCCTATACACAATCTCAAATCAATTGAAGCTGGATTGAACCTGAATTGCTGCTGGTCCAGAAACAAAGTGTGCATTCCGAATCAGGACTAGCGCAATAGTCCCGTGTGGTTCTTCCGACTCGACGCTGCGAAAGCCCATCGCACATCACCACGCCCTTCTTGGCAACACTCCGCTCCAATTCGCTGGTCTCGAGAGATACACTTCATAAGAGACCATGCAGAAGTCCCGTACCATCAACTCTGCCCTAGCCCGGCCATTCGCGCCCCGGGTTCAGGTTCAGTTCCAGCGCCGCAGCCTCCAGGATGTAGCCATCACCCGCACTGGCAAGCCGCTGGTGAAGGTCCAGGGTGGCCGGTAAGTGATCAATTGAAGCTGAGAAGGTCTATTGTTCTTGCTTGCTAACGCATTATCTGTATAGATCCTCGCTTGGAGGTAGCTAGCCTTCCCACTTTGATCCTCGGCCCATTGCTCACTCGTTTCTAGGTCACACTGCGACCGTCTTCGGTGCCACTGGTTTCCTTGGTCGTTACATTGTCAACAAGCTCGGTAGGTTGAGGCTGCAATATCGCAATTGGATCGTGACTGATGGCCCGCAGCTCGCCAGGGATGCACCGTTGTCGTTCCTTACCGTGAGGAGATGGCGAAGAGACACTTGAAGGTCACTGGTGATCTTGGCCGTGTTGTGTTCATGGTATGAGCTTGCTTGTATGCGTGCTTGGAGGAAGTATCTAACTGTTGTAGGAATACGACCTGCGCAACACCCAGTCCATCGAGGAGAGCGTTCGTCACTCCGACATTGTCTACAACCTTGTCGGCCGCCAATACCCCACCAAGTTAGTGAATTAGTATATATCGCTGAATAGCTGCTGACGATTTCAGGAACTTCACCTACGAGGATGTCCATGTCGACGGTGTTGAGCGCATCGCGGATGCCGTCGCTAAGTACGATGTCGACCGCTTCGTTCACGTTTCCTCCTACAATGCCCGCCGGGACTCGCCCTCCGAGTACTTCGCTACCAAGGTCAGTGATATGCGGAAGGTCCGAACAAGGAACCCCCGAGCAAGAGACTAATGAATACAGGCCTGGGGTGAGGAGGTCGCCCGCAACATCTACCCCGAGACCACCATCGTCCGTCCCGCTCCCATGTTCGGTTTCGAGGACAACCTCCTCCACAAGCTGGCCAAGGTTGGCAACGTCTTCACTGCCAACCACATGCAGGAGCGCTACTGGCCCGTCCACGTAAGACAGTCCCAACAGCACTAAATGACCAACTAACATATCTAGGCCATCGACGTCGGAACCGCTCTGGAGCGCATGCTGCACGACGACACCACCGCCGGTCAAACATTCGAGCTGTATGGACCCAAGAACTACTCGACCGCCGAGATCGCTGAGCTGGTCGACCGCGAGATCATCAAGAAGCGCCGTCACATCAACGTCCCCAAGCCCATCCTCAAGCCCCTCGCCCACTACCTCAACAAGTATCTCTGGTGGCACACCATGTCCGCTGACGAGGTGGAGCGCGAGTTCCTCGACCAGGAGATCGACCCCACAGCCAAGACCTTCAAGGACCTGGGCATGGAGGAGACTGCCGACCTGGCCAACCTGACCTTCCACTACCTACAGGGCTACCGCAGTGCTTCTTACTATGACCTTCCTCCCGCCACGGAGCGTGAGGCTCGTGAGGAAAAGAAGTACCTGCACGTGCTGGACGATCAGTAGTTTGTGTTTTTAATGTGTATATAAGCCGATTCCTAGACTCAATCTGATTTCCTTGTGTTTGGAGTGGTTCGGTAGATTAGCAGACCCTGCCTTCATACGGATTGCAGGGGCCAATGCCTTGTCATCCCTATGGCGTTCGCAAGGACTGATCCCAGACTTAGTTGCTTTCATCCCACTATCGAATATCAGTCCAGCAAAGTTGAACTAGATGAGGATATAGTAGTTGCGCACAACTCCATTGCATAAAGCAATACCCAATTAGCAACAGCCAGCAACATACACATACAACAGTCTCTACAATGTCCAAAGAGAACCAATCAAAGACCAGGTAACATGAACCTCGGAGTCTCCCCGCAACCGATAAGATATCCAACCTCCCATTTTCAACTTCACAACTCCAACACTCACACGATGCCCCCAATTCTCCTCCTAAAAACGAGGTCCTCTCCTCACGACGGCTACGAAGAACTCTTCTCACAGAACTATGAACCAACCTTCGTCCCCGTCCTCGAACACCGCTTCCACACGGAGAACTTGAACAAAGTGCGGGACCTGTTTGTCTCTGGCGCATTCGGGGATACCACCCCCAACGACCAAATCAATGGCAATGACAATGGCAATGGAACAGAACATAAGAACCGAAAATACGGCGGTCTAATCTTCACCAGTCAGCGCGCCGTGGAAGGATTCGCAAAGATGATCGAAGATGAGAAAGACAGTAAGGACTACAACCCCCGAGTCTCAATATATAGAATATATACTAAACCACACTCTAAATCAAACAGCAACATTCAACATCCCCGCAACCCAACCCCCATTAATCCTCTACACAGTCGGACCAGCCACAGCCCGCAGCCTAACAACCCTCCGCAACAAACACCTCCCAAACGCAACGATCTACGGTGCCGATGCAGGCACGGGTGAGAATCTGGGGCATATGATCCTTGAGCATTATAATGCGTTATATCCTGCTTGTGCCTCCGCCTCGACGTCTAATTCCAAACCAGCGCTCCTCTTCCTCGTCGGTGAGGTTCGGAGAGATATCATTCCCAAGACATTGATGAATCCCGAACTTGCGGGTAGGAGGATTGGAGTTGAGGAATTGGTTGTTTATGAGACTGGGGTTATGGGGTCCTTTGAGGGGTCCTTTGGAGGTTGTTTACAGAGGATTCGAGATCAGGACCGAGATCGGGGTTTTGGTGTGGTGAAGAGGGAGAATGTGATTTGGGTAGTGGTGTTTTCGCCCACGGGGTGTGAGGCTATGTTACGGGTTCTGGAATTAGGGCCTTTCTCTTCTTCCGGGTCTGCATCTGCATCTAGGGATATGGAAGAGAAGGCAGGACGACGGGTCTTTGTTGCTACGATTGGACCCACGACGAGGGATCATCTACGACAGGAATTCGGGTTTGAGGCGCATGTTTGCGCGCCGAAGCCTAGTCCTGAGGGTGTTGCGGAGGGGATTGAGAGATTTATGAGTGAGTTGTGAGGGTTTGTGCTAGATTACTCAGTGGAGTTATGTATATATTGCAGAGAGCACGTATGAGTAAAGATGTAACTTATTATAAGGATACGCTTACATGGATACGGTTACTTGAATGATCATATTGGGAGTGGCCCTGCTACCTCTAACATGATATCAAATTACACGCCTCAAGTCAAAGTGCGTGCACAATAGAATAGAATGACTCTGACATACTCGATAGATCGATTCGAATAACCGAATTTACCGCATGATTTCCTCGTAGATCAAGACTAAATAGGTTAGTACATATAAAGAAACGAAAATTATCCAGACTCACCCTTCAACTGCTCCTTGCTCAGCGCATCCTTGTTCTTGTCGAAATCAAAGAATCCATCGGGAATAGGTGGCGCAGTTGGCTCATCATCGGGATCGTGGTATGGTTCGAGGTAGGGATGGCGCAGGGCATCCTCGACGGAGATACGCTTGGCTGGGTTGAAGGCGAGTAGTTTCTCGAGCAGGTCCAATGCCAGGTCGTTGCTCTTGGGGAAGAGGGCGCGGAAGGGAATCTTCTTCTTAAAGGGGAGGAGCGGATGTATTCACGGGCACGGCGGGATTTGATGCCGTAGTAATCTTCCATAGTGGGTGTGCCGAGGACGTCCAGGATAAGGGTCAACTGGTGGTGATCTGGAGAGGGTTAGTTATGCTTCAGTTGAGGAATGGGGTTATGTCTGAAGCATACAATCCTTTCCAGGGAATAGAGGCTTCCCGCTCAGCATCTCGGCCAATATGCAGCCGACACTCCACACGTCAATGGCCTTGGTGTATTCCTTGAATGTCAACATGATTTCGGGCGCACGGTACCAGCGCGTAGCCACATATTCTGTCATGAATCCGGAATTGTCGTCGGTGGAAGCGGCCGAACGTGCCAGACCGAAGTCGCAGACTTTCAAATCGCAATTGGCGTTGAGCAGGAGGTTGGAGGGCTTGAGGTCTCGGTGGAGAACGTTGGCGGAGTGCATAGCTTTGAGAGCTCGCAGGGTCTGGTAGATGAAGTATTGGCAGTGGTCGTCGGAGAGATCTTGTGTGCGGATAACGCGATGCATGTCCGTTTCCATCAGCTCCTACAGGTTAAAATTAGCACCGATCTTCACGCATGCATCTTTTCTTGATCGCTCGGCCGTACTTGAATCAGATAAACTTCGTTGAATCCCTCGTAGTTGCGGGGTCGTTGAATGTCCAGGATGGAGATAATGTTTTCGTGGTTAAAGTATCGCAGCAGCTTCATTTCTCGCAGTGTACGCAGGCAGAACATGGAGTGGTCGAATGGTGTGATCTTCTTGATGGCAACCTTCTGACCCGAGGGCTTATGAATGGCAGAGCTAAATATGTCAGAGGAGCTGTGTAGAGAAACTCGCACCACTTACCAAACAACTCCGTAGGCACCTTCGCCAATGACATCTTGGATTTCATATTGATCGGATACATTGAAGGAGATCTTTCGAGATCCTCCCGCGGGAGGGTTCTGCTGTCCCATGTCGACTGGGTTAGAACGCTGAGGCTGAGGCGTTTGTGTATTAGCTTCAAGGTCTTCAGGGAACATCCATAGGAATCGGAGCAAGAAACGACGTAAACAATCCATGGGAAACGAAATGGGGGCCGGGGAAAGGAACCAAGGTTGATGCGGGGCACACGAACGGGGCAGTCGCATCGAAATCCAAGCAATGGTAAAAAACAGTCTCGAGCTCAAGACTTGAGCTCGGTAGCGCGAAGCAAGCAAACGCAGAAGGAAACCGATGGACAAGTCTTACTTTCGTTTGCGCAAGTAAATTGGCGCTCAAGCTCTAAGGCGACAGTGTAGAGAAGAGAAGCAGAGGAATATGACAATATGACCGGTAGGTGTCCAGATTCCGAGAGACCGGGAAGCTCACAGGTCTAAGAACGTGGCATGGTTAGTGAGATTCAGCCAAGACGCTTCAAGCGAGGGTCATGCGGATCCTTACAGAAATGTGGAAGAGGGAGATGGAGAGACCGAGACAGGAGAGAGACAGAAGAAAGGAAGTGAAGCTGGAGAAACAACTCACGGGTAAGGATAGTGGGGCAAGAGCTGTGGAGGCTAAGACAATTTGGAATTAATGAACCCGGATGAGTACTAGTAGACGGAGTAGGGTAAAAGTACGGAGTAGTAGGGGGAGAGGTAGATATTGAGAGAGAGAGAGATGCTAAAGAAAGATATTAAGATCTAAGAAGTTGATGTTATCCCCCTGAACCTTGGGTCACCTCTCCCCACCTGAGGGGTACTTGAGGGGTACTTGACTGGCCTGGCCAACCCATACACAAAGGCCAAGTAGTCTGCAGGTACACCCCCGCCACAGCGCCAAAGTCTTCTTGTCGCATCACATTTGGCCCGGTTTCAGGGCGCTACTGCGTGGGAGACGAAACTTGTCACAATCACAACTCTGGCAGTAGGACTCTGATTGGAGCATAGTGTGGTTTCACTAGTCTCAAGGGGAACCCCACTGATTGGATTTGAGGCAACTATTAGAGGCACTAAGACCCATGTAAAACAGTCTATGTTACGGATAGGGGCTAAAAATGATCAAAATATAATTTATATATTAAAAAATTGCCAGCGACGAGGTTCGAACTCGCGCGGGTTGCCCCACCAGGGTTTTTATTCCGAGGAATCTTAAATCTGGCACCTTAAACCACTCGGTCACACTGGCCAGAATAGGGTTATTTTCCATTTTTAACCTCATCACTTAGGCTCTGGGAGGCTGAAAAAGGTACTATCTCCACTATTTACGGATACTCAATGGATACTACGAAGAATACGGGGAGTACAAGGAGACACACTCATAAAAACTCATTGACTCTTAGATAATCCCAGAGCGTGTACAGCAGGCTATAACCCCACCATCTACTAGATAAATCCAAACATGCCACTCAATTTTCCCAAGGTGATGGTACAGGGACTCGGCGATATGGCATTGCATAGGGCGGACGACATTACTGCACGACCTGATCTCATCGTCAGTGCTGGCTGACACCGCCAGAGCAAAGGACTCAAACCTTCTCCTGCAAGGAACCCATCCACTGGTCCAGGCTGACGCTCTGGTCGGCACGGTCCTCGACCAGCATGGTGAGCGCCCAGAGGCGCAGACCCGGCTCGCCGTCTTCCCGCACCACATACAGGTGCGGCACGATCATGCTGCCCACACCCTTGGCCCGATGGTCCCGGCTCTTTTCCACCACGGCCCGCACGCGCTGGCTGAACTCGTTTTCCACGTCGGGGAGAAGCTGCTTGCCCACCCTCAGCTGCGTCTTGTCGGGCACACCAAAGACGTCCTCGATGAGCTGGGGAACGGCGTCGCGGCCAACCCAGAGGAACTGGGTTTGGCCATCGTCGATGAGGTACAGGCCGTAGGGAACGATGCGGCCGGAGGACAGGTTGACGGCAGGGGGGAGGACGATCTCGCCAGTCTGCTCGTCGGGCACACCGGCGTTGTCGGGCATGTCATGGAGGGAGTACATCCGAGGGTAGATGTATTGAATGAGGAGCGGCAATGGCAAGGTCGACAAGAGACAGAGTGCTGCGGAGCGCATATCCGTCGGAATCTGGGCAGACTTGCGAAGACCAAGCTAAAAAAAAAAAAAAAGGTCAGTATAGGAATATAATGGGAGATGGGGCAAGAAACTCACATTCTTCATCATTGCAAGGAAAAGGACGGGCAAGGCTCTCAGGTTGGCAGGGAACTGGAGGCCACCGCCGCTGACGCTTCCACCGGCGAGCTCCTTGCGGTATGTCTGCAACAGCTCCACCATCTTAGCCTGGAGAGCTTCGCGAGCAGGCTCGAGGCCGCTGCTCAATGTGCGCTCGACGGCCTTGTGACTGAAGAATGTAGCGATGGCCTGTTGGTCGGCCGAGGCGTAGATATCTGCCAGGTTGGTGGTTGTGGGCAGGGCGAGGGTCAACACACGAATACGACGTTCACCGTTGCAGGTAGTGTGGAGGACAGCTGCCTGCATGCAGACGACGGGTTTCGTGACAGTCTCATCAATGGCCACCTCGACCACGTAGGCCTGGTCACGAGGGAAGGCCGGGAAGGCACAGAGATCCGAGCTACGGTTGAAGAAGTTACCATAGAAGGTGCTCATGCGCAGACCTGTAGTAGCACGCACACGGAGAACAGCCTCCAAGCCGATCTCCGAAGACAGGTAATCGGAGAATTCACGGGCGTACTTCATGGCATCCTCCTTCCGTGCAGCACTCCAGCCAGGGTAGAAGTAGGTTTGACCACCAGTATAGCGGGGCAAGTTGCTCAGAGATGCCACATCCTGGTATTGGGATGAGAAGAGGAACATGTCCACGGAAACCTGTGCCTTGGAGCATTCGACTGCAAAGCTCTTGTAGAAAGAGTTTCCTGTTTGGAGCAGACTTGACTCTTTGCTGGTGCCCAGCACCTTCTTGTCTTCTCTCATTGTGAGCGCTCCGTGACCGATGTTAGGCAATGACGCACTCAAAACAGTCATCTTTCCTCCAACAGGAGAGATCAACTTATAACCGGCGCGCAATGCCGAGCCCATGGCGCAGCTGTTGTTCTGGGTGTTCTGGAACATTTCCTGCAGCTTGTCAAGGAACACCTCAATGTTCTCCCGACATTCGCTCAGCGTCACCAGGAGATCACCGGGGATTGGGAGGAAAGGTTCATCCAGGTCACTGACAACCAACATCCGGGGATCCGAGGTCTCTGAGTTGTCCCGAGGGATGCTGAAGTAGTGCAAGCTTGAGTCCACTGCAATGAAGCCGAGGCGTGTCCGCCTGTCTGCGTTGGGAATGCGGTCGAGACTCTCCTTAATGGTGCGTGCGGTGGTTGCCAAAAGACCGCTGGTCACAGATGAATAGCTCACATCGATCAGGAAAAGGTAGACGAGGGGCTGCGGGGGCGGACCATATATTCTTGCGGCGCGACGAATTCCACCATGCTGTGATTGAGGTCGGGGCGCAGCGCACGATCAGCAGGCTTCTGCAGTGTAGAATCCCAATCAAAGGCCTGGGGCACATCGTTTGTCAAGTTGCACATGTTACAACGCCAGCGGTGGCCATGGTCGAGGAAGGTAACAAAGGGGTTGATATAGGAACGGCAGCGACGGCATCGTGAGATCACTTGGTCGGGAATCACAGGAATGGGGTCCTCGGCGTCGTGAAGAGAAGCGTAGGGTTGGATGACGAGAGCGAAAGGCAACTTGGATTTCTTCAGGAGAGAATTAGTTGTCGGCACTGCGTTCAGCGTAGAGCGCATATATTTCGTAGGGCAGTTAGCTTCGGGAGACGGGTAAACGCTAGTCTGTCAATTGTCAGCATCTCGACCGTTTGCACATGACACGTAACATACTCCCGGGGGCAAGATAATTGGCGGAGGAGGGTAGTCCAGTTCAGCAACATTGAATGGCTGAGACCGAAGGTCTGTCGGATAAAGCTGGTTGAGCTGGACTTGGGGTCGCATAGGGGCTTGGGCCACGGGTTGCGGGGGTGGCATGTGGTGCGGCTCGACCATGCCCATTGCGCCGAACTGCTGTGTCATCTGCGAGACATCAGGAACAGCAGGCGCACCGTATGCTGGTGCTGCGGCCTGCATCTGGCTAGGGTCTGCACCGTAGACGGGTTGCTGGTATCCCGCGGCCTGTGGCTGTTGAGGGTAAGCTGCGTAGGCACCCCCGGCCGTGGGCTGTCCACCAAGCGCAGCATTGGCTCCGGAACCGAAGTCAAACGCTTCGCCAGCGTATGCTCTCTTCTTTTTCCACCAGCTGCGTGTGGAGGCGCACCTTGCCCAGGGACCGGGGACTGTGTGGGTTCCGGGGTACCGTAGGCGGGTTGGCCATACCCTTCCTGGGGAGGATAACCCCCTTGTGGTGCTGCCATAGAGGTCGAATAGGGTGTGTGAAGGTTGACTGGAAGTTTGGGGAGAAGGAAAGATCGCACCCGGCACGGACTCGGGTTGTTGATACGAGGTGGTTACAGCTCCTGGACCCCCACAATCAGTTTTTCGTCGACCAAACAACTTTGGAGGGAGAACAGCTTACTCACAGGAAAAGCTGCACCGGCAAAAACAGCGAGAAAGGGACGTGACAAGAGGCTCACCAAAAGAAGCCAAGGGAGTGTGGGAGAGGCGGTGATGGTTTACGGTGGCCTTTAGGTTGTGTTGCTCCAGCCAATCACAGGCCAGGTACCATGTGACGAGGTGATGTTGACTACACAATTCTATAGTTCAGCTCTTGATACAAAGCTGCTGGAAATATAATATAGACAATTGATAATAGCCTGTCCTACGGGCTTACATTGTCGAGAGTCGGTCAGATTGACAGAGCTTGACCTCAATATGGTTACAAGATCTTACTCGCTGTAGGTTGGGGCTATAACATACATTCATACATATGCTCCAGGCAATGCCACTCTCTGGATGGTATTTTCTCTCTTTTGTCTTCTCTTTCTATGTGAAAGGAAACCGATATCGAAGCAACACGTTGGTTTACCGATATATATCACAGCTCGCTCTTATATAGTTCACCATATGACGACACTTTTATAAACTACAACCGGTTGCGAAAATGATCGAATAGGGAGACTTCTACATTACTTCCGCACCGATCGGAAGACATGATATATACATGTACAATACCCAGGATACACAGGTACATAAATGCGGCCTGTACTAGAATTGGTCCGTAAACCCTAGTCTACGCACGGATTGAATCGATACTTTGGCGATTGGATGACCATGATATAATTTATCGGTGACGGCTGTTTGCCAATTGGGCTTAGCTAACTTGCAGCTAAGAAAGAGACCGTCGAAGCTTGAGGTGGTACTCCAGAATGCCCACCAAGGACGAAACCAATGGTTGCCCTGCCAACAACACACACCACAAGAGAACTCCTCCACACGTTCCCCAACCTCAAGTTTTGCATTAACCGTCGACAAGTAGGTAGTTTCGTTTCTTTGCTTTGGGGGATTTGATTGTTCTCTTTTTTTATTTCCCTTCTATCGTCTGTCCTTTCCTGCGTCGCATTAGATTATATCGCCCAACAAAGGATTGAATGACCATCACGCCACAATGAGTGTCCGAGTCGTCGCACGTGTCCGCCCCCTTCTCAAGTCCGAACGGGATCTTGATGTTATCCTGCGTACAGGATCATCTGCCACCGACA